TTTTGCGTTCTTTTTTTAGGGAAAGGAAACATTTTTGTTTTTCTCTACTTTCCTTTCTTTTAGGAAAGGTAAGTCATAAAAACTTTCCTATGGGTGTTTGCGGTTTATTAAGTGAAGCTCTAAATGATATATAGTTGAGATTCTCAAATGTATTTCTTTCATTATCTTGGTTAATCCGTCTCGTTCTTCGTGTTTTGCACTCTCAGACTAACTTTTACTTTCTTTTACTGTATTTACTTGATCTGATATGTTCTCCTATATTTCTTGAGCTGCCTCCGTGTCTACTTCATGAACCTCGGGGGGTTCCAACTATTGTGAACGTGCAGAAAAGGTGAACTTATTTTTATACTTTTGATAAAAATATATTGCTGATATTGTCACATGCGTCGTAGTGTATTACAGAGCTGGGCAGAATACTCGAAGTACTCGTATTCGTACTCAAGAAAGTCCGTACTTTCCCAGCTCTGGTGTATTGTCGACAAATATTTTTTTTAAATAACGATTTTTAAGTTCAAAAGATTCTTTTTATTTTAATTCATCATATAAAATTGAAACAAGATAAGATAAGCAATCGATAAATTATTGAGAAATCCATAGTAGATGCAGTAGCATCTAGTTTTAGGTTCAAGGATGTGGGTGTAATAGCAAATAGTCAACCTCACACCCACATCCAACAGTAGAGAGGTAGCTTGAATTCAAGAGAAAACAATGAGTACAGAAAGATCCTTTAGAGCTACTGGTATTAAAATGATTATTTTATTACAGCTGTAGTTGATAATGCATATACTGTTAACAGCTATCAAAATGAAAAATTTAAACTTTGATTTTTTTTAGACACTGTGCGCATTAGCTGTATATAATATAACAATAATTGATCTTCCATTTCCATTGGCTCTTTACAAAAAGCTATTGAATAAAACAAAAATTGATCTTGAAGATATGAAATCGGTATCTCCTACAGTTTATCAAAGTCTTAGATCGCTATTAAATTATAAAGAAGATGATCTTGAAACTGCACTTTGTTATGCATTTGATATTGAGCGTGAAATTTATGGTGAACGACGTCGTACTGAATTAAAGCCAGGTGGCTCATCTATAATGGTTAATCAAAAGAATAAACACGAATTTGTTGAGTTATATATTGATTACATATTTAATAAATCATGTGAAAAGCAATATCAAGCATTTTCAGCTGGCTTCCGTCGTGTTATTAATTCGAAACCACTTGAATTATTTTATCCTGACGAATTAATGGCTTTTGTTGTATGTTTTCAACAATGAATATCATTATTTTGAATATCATTTATTGTTTTTCTTAGATTGGTAATACAAATTATGATTGGAACGAATTTCAGAAAAAAACAGAATATAAAGGAGAATATCATGCTAATCATCCGGTGATGTAAGTAAAAGCATTAAAAAGAAGATCTGTTTTTCAGAAAGCTCTGCTTATTTTAGTCAATGGTTTTGGCAAGTGTTTCACAAATTAGGTGAAAATGAGAAAAAAAAATTTCTTTGTAAGTATACAACATTTCACTATCTAAAATTTACATCGAGTTCGGATTCGAGTTTGTGTATTTCGGAATACTTCTTACTTCCATTTTCCTTCATTATCTTTGAATCTTTTAAATATCATCATATTTATATTTACCATGAAAAAATCCGGAACAGTTTCTTTGAACTTAGTTCTACTTTCGTTCAGTAATGAATTGAAAAAGATGGTAATGTAAAAATGAACATGAAGATTCGAATTTCTATTATGTCTGCAATGATAGAAGTAATGATAGCTAATCCGATAATCACTAACATATAACGTATCATAGGCGGCGCATACCTTAGGCTAGGGGAGGCTTGGTGGGGCTCAATTATTTGAAAAAAAAATCCTGATTTCATCATAATTCTATATTTGATAAGTGAAAGCGGTTAGACGAGCGACGTTATTTTTTTATCCGAAGGCATGTTTTTGTCTAAACAATATTTATATGAACAACTTTTGAACGTAGTATCGTGACTTATTCTTCTAATATTTAAATAGTACAATTTCAGTTGTATTGTCTCATCTATATTGTACTTTGCTTTTTTAGTATTTCTAACTGGTTCTGATCGTGTACCTGTCTTTGGCTGGAGCCAAACACTAGTAAGAAAATTAGATTTTATCAATTCAATCCTATAAATTCGTATTATTTTATAGCCAATGACAATTCAACGAAGTCATACAGATGATGCACACTTACCAGTCAGTCATACATGTTTTAATATTCTCGATATGCCATTATATTCATCAAAAGAAATTCTGAAAGCTAAATTACTTGAAGCAATTCAACACAATCAAGGTTTTAATCTTGTTTAGATTGAACTGTATTTTTTTGATAACAAATTTATTATCTCTTCTTTCGCTCAATTAAACGTTTAAGCATTTTTTATTTTTTTATGCTTACTTTTGGGTGATTCTGCTGCTTTATTATACTTCTATATGAGTATATATATATATATATATCAGAACAGAATTTCTTCGTGATAAGTTCTTCAATAACAACTAATTCTATTTTTTATTTTTATTTTTTTTTGTAAAAGAATAATATTTCTCTGTTTTGTATGAGAAAAAAATCTCTATTACGCTTTCAAAACAAATATTTTATTGTACGTATAAATAAAAATAAAAATATCATTTTATATAAATCTTACATTGAAAGTGTTTGTCGATTATAAAATGAAAATATTCGACATGCTGATTAGGATTAATTGTTTGATTGAGAATCTAAATGTAACATCAGAAAAAAAATTCTATTTAATTAAGAATAAAAAAAAGTAGCCTTTATGTTTCAAAAGGAATTGTTTGCATAAAACTCAATAAACACCGTAAAAATTCTATTTATCCAATAGTACCGAAACATTATGTCCATCAGTATATAAAAAAGATTTAGCTAATCGACAAGCGTGACTAAGATAAAGAACAAGGATGAATAGGTGTGTGTTACCATTACTTTTACTATCAAAATTACTTTTTCATTTCTTACTCATCCAATCACAATTTGTGGTTTAGTGCATGATCCCATGAATAAGCAATCGAAATATTCGTTTTTCTTCAAATAGAATAAGAGCGAGGCCACTGTAGTTTTCTATTTGTCAAAAAGAAAGTGCCCCTATGAAAATTCCTCAAAACTCTAGACATATTCAAAACTCTGCATACAAAAGATTAATGCTTCAAGCAAAATGGACGGATTTACTTTGAAATAGATGCTGTCATCTTCTTTTACGTCAGTGCCTATCCGTTTCCATAAGTTTCCTAATTATAAACATGGGAGTTACAAAGAGAAATATATGAACGGATGACAACGAGCATATTCGTTGCTAATGGCGGATCAACGATTCAAACTATACTGTCTGAACATTTAAGAATATTGTTTCTTACTGAGAAGTTGCAGTCTAGCGAAAAGCCTATCTGTGAAACTTCACAAAAGCCATCTTTTCTACGGACGTATTCACTATGCTAAATTTTACTGTAATTACATTCGTAGTTTTTTCAATTTCTTTTCTTTGCAGTAATACCATGATGTCAGTCTTTTGCCAACCGATTCAGCGTTCAATATTTTTGCTTTTGCTTTCGAGACGTAAATATCATGACAGTTAGTGAATATAATTTATAAAATCGAACAAGGAAAACTGTATGATATAGGTATATGACTCTTAATACTCTTTTTTTTGAGTGTATAAAACATAGTACTCTGAAATAGTATAGGAAATAAGTTTTTTGTGTACTCAAAAAGTGAGTACACTCTAGAATCGGTCAGTGTGTCCGGCCGGCCGTAGGCACGATAATTTGCGAAAGGAGAGTCAGACCGTGATGAAATTTTCCACACAGTTCAATCTCATGAATATCTCGGTCGAGTTCGAAGATGAGAAGAATCCGTCAAGAAATGGTTGAGTTATCGAAAAAATTGTCATTTTTGACCAGGCCATCCCTGAGGAGGAGTACAGGGAATTTTTTTCAAAAAATAAATCTTTCTCAGAATTATTCACAACATATATAAATCGACTCAGTTTTTAACGCTGATTCCGAATCTGACATTAGTTTTGAACTAAATCGTAGCTTTCTAACGAAACATTGCCTGAAAAATGTCTCAAAATGCACAAAAACTGCATCCAGAAATCAAATTGCTGTTTCTCATGATAATTTTCGTGTTCAGACATTCTAGAATGATTCATATGTCCCATGCACTTTTTGCAGTACACATAACTTTCGGATGAAATCCGAAGTTTCCACATTTATTTCTTGATTAAATTTACACAAGAACGGTAATTTAATTTAACTAATTTCCTGTAAATATTCTCTCTATAGTTGCAGTTCAAATTCAAAGAGAAAACGAAACCAGTAACTCATATTTCGTCATAAAATGTATTAGAAAACAAATATCCTAAAATGTTTATTGCCTATGACTGGACCAACCACTGTCTATGATAGTATGATCGAAGGCTCAATTCCATTAACGTGAATTTGTTGAAAGTAATTGAAAACGAAATTTATTTGTACAAATAAATAACGATCGTATAGATTGTTTAATATTGGATATAATAAATTATTTTGATACCGTGAGATTAAATATGTGATATGAAAATAATTATCATAGCTAATTTACTCTCATTTTTCATGAAGCATAGATAATATGCATCAATTTTCTTTACTTATTTATCACTTTGATAATAATACTAGAAAAAAATATATATCTTTTAGTATTGAAAGAACATTTCTCTATGTAGTATTTGATGGAGAAGTTTTCAAATTTTGGCATAGAAAAACAAATAATCTTGTGTAACCCTTAATCATTTGTGAAGATGTATTTTATTTTGCTGATCTTTAGGTGTGACATATAATCTATTATTTATACTATCTAAAAATAGAACTATCCGCCGAGAAAATAACGTTATGTATTCAATATTGATTTGAAAGTAACTTTTATTATACGATTCTACGATACTAGCTATTTAGATACGAATAGTATTTAGATCAAACAACACATCTTACCTTTCGAAAATTCATCTTCATCTATTGCATTTTCTCGTTGATATTTTTTTCTTGTCAACGAAATTCTATTCTTTGCTAATTCTGTTCGATTTTCCATTCTACTAACACGAGAATGATTTACAAAAGCGGGCGATGATGTATTTGAAATTAAAGCACGTCGGTGTAAATCTAATAGACTTCGTCGAACTATTGATGGAATTCTTTTTGGATTTAACGCTTGATGTGCAGGCAGCTGCCTGTACGGATTCATTTCAAGGCGCACTCGTTGATTATTCGGATGTAAAGGATTTAATGAAATAGTACTTTGTCCAAGTTCAATTGTACTTGGTGATAGAATTTTCTCAGATATAGACGATTTATTGTATAGACAAGTTTCACTTGGAGAATGTATATGAATTGTTGTTCGAGGTGATGCATCAATAGTTGGTTCGGAAGTAGCACGTAAAAGATGACTAGGCGATGGTGCTGTTGATTGTGTTGAATTAGCTGCATATCGTTCATCAAGTGTAGATGGACTTAAACTTGTTTTATTATTCATATAATAATTCGGCCGTATTGATGGTGGATTACATATTCGTTCTAGTTTTCGTGCCAAACATATCACCGTAAACAACCATAAACCAAGAATAACCAAAACAAGAATATTTTCCGAAAGACTCATTCTATAGATAGTTTCTTCCATTGGATCTAAGAGTAAACAATTATATAATTAGATTCTATATTTGTTGTTGTCAAGTTGAATGAAAAGATATTACTACGTATATGTCGAAGAGAAATAAAGATACTCAACATATGGCTACATTAATAGCACTCAGATGACAGCTGTGAAAAGTAGGAGATACATAAATGAATTGATTTATCCGCAGTCGAAAATCATCAATTTTATTGTTTACGTGACATGAAAAAGAGAAAATTAATCATCACACAAACAACGAGTACTTGTTGTATGAAGTGATGGTTCATTTTTGCTCATATATTTCTAAACAATACAAAGATCCCTGATGAGTTTGAGTCCATAAAATGTTACGCTCCTAAATGTCTAAATTTTAATTTTTCTTGCACACAATGCAACCTTATTCATGGAATGAACAGATGAAAATACATAATAATAAATGTTTCTTAAAATCCCTGAGGTTACATAAAAGACGACGCTATTATTCACATTACAATAGAGAGAAAACATCAATGGTTTTTTTTACGGCTCGATCAAATGCATCACGAGTATAGGAGTATGTCGATTCTTGTTTGCCTGATTATTCCATAAAAATTCTCTTTGCCTTTTCAGAACTTACCCAAAGATTTCGAACGTATGTATTCTATCGTTAAACTGTTGAATGTTTGTATCGGAATGTTTAGAAAAGAATCGTTAATTATATCCTATGCATTCTTTTTTCCTTTCTGATTATAAATGACAGTTCTGGCATAGTATTTATTATTATTGTTTTTTCCTTCTCTCAAGCTAAAGATACTATCTTTCATAAACTATATGTATATTTATTAATATCGTAAAAAAATATTTTACGAATCATCTAGACAAATATATTCATGGCTGATCATAATATTTGATCTTTCTATATTTTACTCTTCGTATTCATAATAAAATCGACAAAAATGTGTGCTTTCCAGTTGATTTTTGTTTTTAGTTAAAAGAAGAATCAATTTTAGCCGTATGACGCATGCACCACATGATGCATTCTTTCATTATAGACGCCAATGATTATCGAAGCAAATGATTGACAACATCGTAAAGTCGACAGATAATAATTTTTACTGAATCAGTTGATACGATCATTAGTTATTTTATTTTAGAATAAGCAAAATCTATAAACTTATAAATAGTTGGTAATTCAATTGATATATGAATGAACGTTGAGCGGTATCTGAAAATTCCTGTTATTGTTGTTTTTTTGAAGATATGAGATAACATGAACTTGATTGGACAAATTCAATGGTCGAATAGAAACAAAAAAAAAACAGGAAATGTATTAAATAAGTTGGTTATCGGATTAATAGATGCGCATTAGGCATTTGGAAATGCTCAAAAACTAGCGATGAAATCAATAATTTCCGAAGTTTTTCCTCTTTGTTCGACGTGACAGACTTTTACAAATAATTCTCTCATGAAGAATTTCGAAAGTTGATAACGATTAAAAATAACTTTTGTAAATATACTTTTCAGTGTTTCTTTCAATCAATACTGGCTATGGATCTTTTCACTACTATTCTCATCCATTTGAATTAGATTCATGTGATTTAAATGATTCCAATCTTTCGCTGCGCATTGCGAGTACAAAACAACTGTTTTTTTCAATAGCATGACCTCATGGTGTTGCTATTATTGCCCTATAGATATTTTAACAGCATCATTGTTTCAACTGATGTAAAAAATAAAACAAAAGAAGTTCTTTTTTTTACAAATTGTTTGATGAAAAAGACTTCTATTGATAACTAATTGTAAGACAGGCATTCAGAATAAATATAATTTTATGAACTATTTTATATCGTGAGCACCGTTGCCACATGAGTAAATTACAAGATCGATTTAATTTTACTATACAATGTTTTGATTATTCAGACTTTGCATGCGATCTCAGCGTTAAATAGACTTACAAAAATACAACAAATTTACTAAATTTTCTAATTAATAGTCTTCCAAAAGTATCGAATAATGAAGAGAGATCAGCTTTCATTGAAAAACAATGAATACACTTTTATATACATGAGTTTTTCATATATTTCTTTCGAAAATCTAAACGTCTTACAATCATGGAAATACTGAAAAATAGAAGAAAAGCAATGTTTTTTTGTATACACTACATACCAATAGCACAGTTGTGTCGAAGATTAATAATGGCACCAAGATGTTTACATCATATCATTCTTTTTGTGGCAGCTACAAACAAAAGCATTAGACAAATCTGATTTGAAAATAGTATGGTCTGGTTCTATTTGCAACAGTAACGAATAACAACACCCCTTTTGTTTTGATCCTGAACAGTAATTACGTCAGTTGCAATAGTGTATTTGCTTTTGGCTAGATTGAAATGTGTTTTATTGCTGATCGTATATAGAGTCATTAATTTGAACAGTTCTATCAAATTAATTTTTCAGTTTAAACTTATAGAAATATACCATTATAAAACTAGGTATTAATAACGACATTAAAGCTTCCGATGTGCTTATCATTTTTATCTACGCCGCATGTTTAGTTTCAACATTGATTTGTCTATCGTATTTACAACTCTAGTTATCTATACAGAATTGCGATAAATTTGTTTTGCGTCAAACGAAATATGGTGCCGACAGATACTAAAAGTCGTTGCCCTAAATTTTTGAGAGATGGAATCATAATTGTAAAATAGAAATTTGGATTTCATTTGAATGATTTATGTTCTTTAATAAATGTTAAACGCTCAACTTCAATAATCTTAACTAATCTCTTGAATCAGCATAATTAATGTTTCAACCAAGTTTATTCTCAATCCTTTACACTGTCTCTAACGGTAAAAAATGGAATCTATCGAGACGTGAGCTCATCGTCTATTTAACAAGCAGTTCGAATGATCATTGGCTTTTAAGCTGAACTTATGTGTATTTTTGGGATAGTGTCACATATCATACATTAATCTTTTTTTAGGATAATAGTAAAAATTAATTTCGAATTAATGATTTGTATAGAGACAGATCTTTGAAAAGAAAAAACATCTCTTTTAGTTTTACTCCTTTTATGATAAGGTAAAACAATGAGTAAAAGCATCCATTCTCTATAATGTCCATAGGCACAAAGCAAATTTGCAAGTCTTATTTTGCGAGCATTTGTAAATCACCGCTTAAAACTGATTGATCATGTAGAGAATCTCCTTCATGACGTACAACAGTCTGATGGACGATGTGTTAAAACGATCTGAGAGAGTTCTAGAAAACATTTTATACCCCCGGAACAACAGTTTAATATGAATATTGGTGCATATTACTTGCAAAAATAATTACAATTCAATTTACTTGTAAAAACTTCATCTGTGTTCATCAACGACTCATTTTTATATATTTCCTTCATTGAAACAGTTAATTGAAATTGTGAGCAACTACGAAAGAGTACAAAAATATATTTCAGAATAAATCTTGTTGAATAGTTTAACAGTTGTTACACATCGGAAAAATAGATATCAAGCAAGCAATACATTTGTACCGTTCAGCTGTTGCGGTCTGTATGAATGTTCAGCGTACTACCTCCATTATGTAAAGTGCATATATAGCTTACTAAAGCAAATAGAACATTGTGGCTGTATTTGATTGGTGTTATTAAAAAGATATATTATTTTATTTAACTCACATATCATAAACTCATCACAAAGTAACTCGATATATTCGAACAAATGGCTTCACCAGGTTTATTTCTATTAACAATTGTACTCGGACTTTTATTTATATTTTTGGGTCATATAAAATTGTCACCACAATTTTTCCCTGAACATCATGAACGCATAAGAAATGAATTTGGAAAATTCAATAAAGAATTTCCACTTCATCGTCAAACTGGTTGGCGTCCCTATGCAAAAAATTATCGTATGGCAGTTGGCATAGCCGAAGTACTTTGTGGATCTTTATTGCTTCTCAGTAAAAAATAAACACTTAACTTGTAAAAAAAAAATATTCTTTTTATGCATAAATTTTTAGGTCTTGCACAATCATTAGCAAATATTATTTTATTGATCATAATGACTAATGCAATAATTACATTTCAAAAATTAAATTATTCTATTGAATATACTGGTGTATCGATTTTCATTTCATTGTTGCTTGTATTACGGCTTATTTTAGCGTCGTCAGGATCGAAACCTAAGCAATCAGTTCAAGCCAAAGCGGAGAAGAAAGTTAAATAAAGACTAATATTCTGAAGATTTTAAATCTGTTGTTTTTTATTCGTTGCGTTTTTATTTAGTGTTGTTGCAGTTTTTTTATATCTCGCGAGTAATTTTTACATCAAGAACTCCAAAAAAAAGCGAAATTATTCATATCAATTGTGGAAATATTTTTCAGTATCGTGATTATTAGGATTATTTGCATTTTAGGAAATAAAATTTCAGGATGAGCCAAATTTGAATCATCACTCACATGGTGTTCTTTTTTTTAAATTATGGTAATTACTTATTATAATAATTACTAGTTTTTAAAGCAGTGTGACGGATGTACCATAATTATTATTTGAGACATTGTGATTGAATAGCTCAATCATTTATCTTATGTTATTTTTTTTCTCCACTATTGATTTGATTAGTTTATTCCGATGATATTTCAATGGTTTCTATAGGTTATTCGATTGAATATAACAAGTTCTAAAGGTCTTGTATTCAATCGCTCTGCATTCGTTGCACCTTAATCAAGCAGAATATTGAAAAAGGTTACTTCATCTTCTTCCATTCTGAATTAAAAGGGACGATTTTCTATTACGTAAATCACACGATACGTTGAATATCTCACTAGCTTATTTTCTGCGATAAATGTTTTATATATTGAAAAGTTTTTAAAAAAAGCATATAGCAACTTAAATTTCGAAAAATAATCAAAGCACTGTCAACAGGAAATCGTGTGTCATATAGAATATTTTTTATAATTGTGCGGTAGAGCTCATAATACAAACTTCAAAAAGAAAAAAGAACTTCATTGAATAGTAAATCAAAGAACAAATGGAATACTTGCTATTCATAAAGATTTGATGACAACGACAAATACTCAGGGGATCAAATGTGACGTACATAACACGGAAGGAAGCGACGATTAAGCGATGCTAAAATCTTTTATTACATTTGCATGCTAGTAGATTTTCTGTATTACGCTTGCCATCGTGACTTACAAGATTATTATTCGTTTACGATCAATAGATCTTAAGTTATCCACATTGATCATTATAGGCAACTAGACACTTGGATAATGTTGAACATATCCGCTAATTAATTCAAGATATTCTACAGATTTTGAGTAACTTCTCGACAAGCATAATTTAGTTATTGATTTTTCAATAAAATTATTATAAATCGCCTGCGAAGGCCTAGAAAATCGAATTAGTTTACACTTTTGCTAATCTGACTAGGATATTTTTGTGAACATAATATGTACGTTTTAAATAGAGAAACTCTGAGCTCTATCCGAATATCAAGAACGACATCATCAATGTAATATTAAAAATGTTTTTTTCTCCATAGAAAATCATTCATTGTAGAAGAGAAATATGATTATCCTAATGCTATTACTAAAAAGAATATCTTTATTAAAATAATCAGAATTATCATAATAAATACTTAGAGATTATCTTTTATCAATATTGAAACCTAGAAATATTGTAGCGAATGTCAAGAAGATTCATCGTATTTTTCACTCTATTTTTTTTTCGCTTTCGAGACAAATATCAGCTTGATTAAATAGTTTTCAATAAGAAGAAATTACATTAATAATGTTCGGATTGGCGGCTTAATTATTTTTATCAAAGAGATGTTTATATGTAATAAGGTAAACGGATAAAAAATAAATGCTTGGGTTAGTAGTTAAATAAAACAAAAAGAAAGAAAGAAAGAAAGAAAGAAACAAGCAGTCCTAGTCTATCTAGGTAATGTTCAGACAAAATTGTTGAAAAAAGAATTGAGTGCTGGACATTAATTATAGTCATTACGATGAACAGATCGTGAACGAATCAATGTTGTTGAAACAACTTCAGCACGTTGTTCAGCATCGTCAAGTTCTCGTTCAAGGCGGCGAGCACGTGTTAATACTAGAAAAAAAAGAAATAGTTTTATTGATTAATATTAATTAAAATACCTAGGGTAGCTGAAGATTCAGCACTTTCGATTTGTGATTTATAAACACGGAGTCTATCATTAGTTTTGCCTAATGTATCTGTAAGTGAAAGAACTTTCGCTTGTTCTTCATCAACTTGACTTAATAATTCTTTAACACGTCTTTCGTTACGACGTAATTCTTTAAGAAGTTCTTGATAACGACCACGTTCTAAATCAATTTCAGTTTCAAGTTGTCCAAGCTAAAAGAAATAACCAATAAAATTCTGCTTCAAATAGATAATTATTCATTGAAACTTACTCGTCCTTCATATTTAACAGCAATACGTTTTCCTTCCGCTCGTGCATAAGCTTCAGCTTCATCAATCTTAGCACTACAATCACGTAATTGTTGCTCCAATGAACGTTTGGATGCTTCTGTTTCCGCTGTTCTTTCACGTTCATGGCGAATTTCTTCATCACGATGGATTAATTCGGCAGCTAATTTTCGTGCCTAAGATGAAAATTAATCAACTTTCATACACATGTTTCCACTGTTCGATTTAATGGTTTTTTTTTGTTTCGTTTGAAAGCAAGAATATTTTAGTTTAGAAAATACCTCGTATGATTTATAGATTATTATTGAATGACTCAGTATTTATTTCCTTGACCAATGAAAATATCATGTCAATTGATTTATCAAATAGATGTTCAATGATCTTATTTAATGAGTTAAGGGGAATAATTGATAGAGATGGTCTTTCTCTGTGACTAATTAAAAAAATGTGTCCATATATATTCTATAATGCATGCTTAACTCTATTGGAATTTTTTTCGATTGCAAGCATTGATGCTGAAAAGATATGAACTGAGAACTTTTCAAACGATGAGAAATTCTCTGTGACGTAGGATTAGTTTGATTTGACATACCCAAGTATTTGTGCGATACAAACATTTGCTTACTGAAAGAGTGAATGCTAACGTGTTAAAATAGTGGGAATGAGAAGTCAGAAAACTCTACAAAAACAAAAATCCGTAATTTTCTGTTCAGTCAATCGCTCTACGGTTAAACGTTATCAAGTTGATCCTTTTGATCAAAGCTTACTAATTTCGCATGGCATTCAACGTATGTAGTAGCAAGTGATTTTGTTTTCATACAATACAACAGTAGGGAGCAAATATTTCTGTGTAATTCTTTCAAAATAATTTCGGTTTTGGTTGAAAAATGACAATTAGAAAGTTTTAAACATATTTTTTTTACAAGGAATGATGAAAATCGTTGAATGTTTCTACTCTCAATAGAAAAATTCATATTTCGGACAAAAAAAAACATCGTAAAGGGTGATTGGAAAGATAATCGAACGAATACTTGATCGGGGATGTGTACATGTGATTGTTAGTGTTGATGTCGTTCTCAGTCTAGGTTTTGCCATTAATCTGAGTGCCTATACGTGTAGGTGCACATAAGAGAACATGTCGATGATGGTGATCGTTCGAGTGTATATACGTGTATTAGAATATTGGTGAATTTTTACAAAAGTTTTCGCACTTTGATTAATACCCACGTGTGAATTCATCAATGGGCGATGAATCGTTTTGTGATGAATTATCCATATGGTAAATTGTCCTGCAAAGAGTTGATCTTGACGATTAGTTCTAGTGCTTTTGAAAGATCTCAGAGAATGTTTTTCTCTATCGTCATATGTATTATACGTAGAAATAGCATTGGCATTCTCGAGGTATTAAAAAGGCTCGAATTGAAATAGAATATAGATTCAGTTTGTGATAAGTTTTCTTATTCTCTTAAACTATTTTCATAGCCATTTTATATGTCTAATGTGGCAGTGTCAGATCGCTCAATCAAACTAATATCAAGTATCCATATAAAATTCTTTCGAGGCAAAATTTCCAATGAGATTTTAGTATATTCGTAGATCTAAAGTAACTTAACAACTCATTCTTTTCTATCTTTATACAAAAGATATAAACATTAATAATCTCATTTGAAATGAACACTACTAATTATTCGAGCTGTAACTGTAGAACTCCCGGAGTTATAAAACTCTAAAATTTGTATCACCATCATTTTTGAAATCATGTTTAAAAAAAACAGATTTCGTTATGATCATTTTACAACATGTGATTTGTTTTTTTTTGTACAAAATCTATCATCTATTTCAAAACGATAACTTCTACTGTATTTATGTAATATAAAAAGTCGCAGGAAAATCAGTTTATTTACCCGTTCATCAATAATCTTGAGTTCTTGTTTAACATCGAGAATTTCTCCTTGATATTGCATTGCATCAGCTTCGAATTTCTTTCTTTCGGCATAGGCACGACTAGTTAATGAGTTGGCTTCAGTTAACCGTTGTTCAGAATCATGTAATTCAAGTTCAGTTGTTTTACGAGCTTTTTCACTCTAACATAGAAAGAAAAAAAAGTAAACAGTAAACTGCAAATATAGCTAACAATATAAGAATAACATACACGATCGAGTAAAGCACGTAATTCATCGATTTCAGCACGAAGAAGAACTTAATTGAAAAAAATTCATCGATAATTTATTTTTGTTCGAAAAAAAAAGTCTAATTTATTACCAAATCGTTTTTCGGATGCATTTAGTAGTTCTCTTGTTGCAGCATGTGTTGTTTGTTCTTCGATAAGACGATCTTGTGCTTCTTTAATATTAACTTGAAGTTTTTTAAGATGATTTTCCATTTCACTTTTTATTTTCTTAAGTGAGTCATAACGAATACGAATTTCATCAATTTCATTTTGTAATTTTGATTTTATACGACTGGCTTCTGTTCTATAACGTACTTCAAGTTCTTCCATTTGTGATTGCATTAATTCTAATTGTTTGCGTTGATTTGCTCTAGAATTTTCTTATGAATAATTTCATATACATACGAAAATCTATGTTTACCGGAGTGATTCAAGCTCTTCGTCTTTTTCCATGATTTTCTTTTCTAAATCACTTCGAAGTTTATCAATAGAAGCATTCAATACATTGTATTTTGTTATTTCAATATGTATTTGTTCACGATATTCTTCGATTGCTGATCCTAATGATAATTTTTCAGCTTCAAGTTGTTTACGAAGGCGATCCATATCACCGATGCGTGTATTCAAATCAGATATTTGATTTAATGCAACATCCATTTCATCTACACAAAACCATATCAAAATGTTATAGATGCTTTTGTAAGATCAATTTGTTGAGCAAGGTGAAAACTCCATGAAACGAACTCGTCGTTTTCTTTCAAACTCAACATTACGAGCACATACATGTTACATATTGTGTGTTAGGCAAAATACTATTTATCTCTCCCAGTAGCTCTTATTTTTGGTCATGACTAGATGAAACTAATCGGCAAATATAATTACTCAATTCTTGCTACCGAATTCTTAGTAGTTTCAGGTTACAACACAGTGGTTTATTGCTGGTCAGTTTTCGGTCTTTGAAATGATCATTATAGGCAGTTTCACCTTCCCGGATAAAATGAAAGTTTTCGTTTAGATACAAGTTTCTGATATTTCTCAATAATATTTGCTTTATTCATTACGAAAAAAGTGGGTCAGATCGAGTTGACCTTTTAGAAAGCTTTTGGATAGATAAAGTTTTTTTTAAAAGTATCAATGCCGAATATGAAAGTTGGAGAAAAATTTAAAAAAAAATGTTTTAGCAGATAATGATGTTTGCCAATTTTGGTACTCGTTGGCAGCATTCATATAAAAGAAATGCGTTAATTACAGCAAAATTTCTTAAAAAGTCGATTCTCTTTTGTAGAGAGCTGTAACGTATCATTGTTTTATTTCTTGTACAAAAGTAGCTTTGTTCGCATAATATTTCTAAAGCACACCAGATATGGAACGATTCATTAACATTCTCCAGACTGTATACATCAAAACAAACACAAGCAAATGTTTATTCTTTGATGAAAATGTACTGAATAGGAAAAGTACTACAAATTTAGTTTATTTTGAACAGCAGATTTACAGGGTATGCTTTTTCCAATGCCTATGTTTTTATTGAAAAGTGCTCAAATAGGAAGTAAAAAACAAAAAGAGACTGAAAAACCACGACGCTGTATAACATGACTCATTTATCCCACCTAACGAAAAAAATAACAGCAGATTTGGCAGTCTTTCTTCCGCGCATTTTATGTACAAAGTCTTGTCCTAAATAATTTATGTCACATAAGATACGCCTGTATGTTTTGACGATTCACGTAGATTATTAATTAATGAAAATACAGCAGAACGATGATAGCTCAGAACAGACGTCGTTTTATCGTACTATCCTAACGATAGTAGCAACAGTTGTTTGTCGTCACTAAAAAACGCCTATTTGGCGAACATACTATCGAATGCTATATGGATTGTCTTGTCCAGTTTGAATCAGATACATTTATAACATCTTATGTATTTAACATGGATGTTTAGAAAAGTTTCAAGAAACCCGATCGCACAAATCATTTTTCTTTTGGCAGAATGGATACATGGCTAGATTAAGTTTTAATTCATTTCGTGAATCTTTGGTTTAAATAATATTTGTACCTGCTACGATGGAATCAACTTTAGAAATTCGTCGAATTTCAGCTCGATCCACGAGAGTATGTCTAAACCTAATATTACACAAGTGTCTGCAACGAGAAAAATCTATTTTCGACGAGCTTTTTAATAATCAGTAGCGATATTCTTATTGGTAAAAAATATGAATTTTTCTGTGAATAGTATCCAATGAATGTTTAAACATGTAGAACCATCAGAAAAATATTCTCGTTTTTAATTCATTACCTTGTAAGCGACGTTTGTCTCGTGTGATAATCTCGATTTGTTCAGTAAATTGTTCGTTTAAGCTTTTAACTTTAAGTAATTCGCTTTGATAGTTATGATTTGCTTGTACAGCAGACGAAAGTTCAGCATTCAATTGATTTAGACGTTGACGGGATTCATCAACTTCTTTTTCCAATTGTTTATTACGTCGAACAGCTTCCTCAGCTCGTTTACGATACTAAATTTAAAAGAATGATTAGATTCAGTTAACATAAAAAGAAATTATTTTTCTTTATTTACTTTCTCAACTTCACCATTAAGTTTATCTAATTCAGCTTGAAGACGTTGTTTAGCTTTTTCAAGATTGCTTGCTTTAGCAAGAACTTCAGTAAGTTGTTCTTGAACTTCAGTAATACGTGCATTAAATTTACGTCTAAATGAAATAAAATAAAATCAGTATTCTCTTTATAGAAATATAATCAAACCTTTGATCTTCAATTTCTTCATTTTTTCCTTCAATTTCTCTTTCTAGTTTGTCTCGTAAATATCTTGATTCTTCTTGAATTTTAATTAAAAGTTTTTGTAATTCAACTTTAGCTTCAATTTCATCATCAAGTTGTAATTTTGTCGATTCTAAATCCATTTGAAATGTTTTCACTGTTGATTGTAATGTTCGATTTGTCTTTAATAAATAAGTCAAAGGAAAAATTTTAAAAAATAAACAAATATTTAATTATTTATGTCTTACAGCCATTTCAGATTCTAAATGAAGTCGTGCTTCTTCATAATCGCCTTGTATTCGTTTATAAATTGTTTGTATCGATACTAATTCAAATTCAAGAGTTTCGATACGTCGGCTAAATGATAAATTTTCTTCCACAAGACGAGCTTTTGTTGTATTAGAATCAGTTAATTGGCGAATAGCGTCATCAACTTTTCCATTCATTTCAATTAATTTTCCTTCGAGTTCTTTACTGACTGATACAGCTTGACTTTTAGCTCTTCCTAATGATTCAACTTCATTTTTCAATTCTTCAATTTCAAGAATATAGGATTTGTTTTCCTTTTCATGTCTGTGCAAGAAAGAAAAAAATTTTTATTATTGAAATTTTATTTCCAGCAAACAAACCTTGTTTTTCCTTTGCTTAATGCTTCAACTTGACTTGTAAGTTCTGATAATGAATCCTGAAAACGGCGACGGAGTGTATTTTGACTTTCATCATTTTCAGCCGATTGAAGTTCAAGTTTTTGACGTAAATCATGAATTTCTTGTTTGAAACTAAACACATTGTCATCATTATTATTTAATTCAAATGAAACAAAAACATGAAGAAATCTTTTTGTCAAACAAACCGTTTATTATTGTCAATTTCTCTATCACGTGCATTTGTAATTTCGTCTAATTGTTGTTCGATTTCATCAAAATCAATACGTAAATTTGTTAATTCTTTCTCTTGACGGTATCGAACATCACGTTCCATTTTTATTTCTTCTTCAAGATCGCGTAAGCGATTCTAGAATAAATTCAAATGTGAAAATCAATAAACTAATTATATGATTTTACACTTACGGCTAAAATAGCTTCAGTCATGTTTGATTGTCTATGAAAAAGAGAAAAAAAAGAAATTATATAAATTCAACAAAACAGCAGTTTCTATAAGACGTTATAACTAGATGAATATTTCTGTCGTTTAGCTACCTTCCCAAATGGCAGCACTCCTGCGAAACAATATCACGAGTCTTATATATTTACTATAAAGGTTAGTATCTGCAAATCACAAATGAAAATCAATCTAATTCGGACTTCTCTCATATAATCGCTTGATCTTTCCATACATGCTGACTAATCCCAAGAAAAATATAGGAATCCATACATATAATAAAGTAATCAACCTGCTAACAGACAGGTGGCGCATGGTAATCAATCGAATAGTTGGTCATCTCATGACTGCATATTAACTGGTACTTAGATAAAATACGGCAGCATGCTTCTTTGAAGAATGTTACCACCTAACCATAGCGGTTTTCTAGGTTTATATATACCTACCCATCCACAATACCACATAGATAATCTACTGCTTATAGAATTGTAAATAGCGCTACTACTAGAGCTATTTATTTGAGATCAGTGTGAAGCTAGTACGATGAAACAGATATTCAACTATGAGTCTTCTCAGAAGTATTGCCGGCCCATAAAAACCAGACCATTCGATGCAGAATTTAATTCTGGATCGGATGGTGATACTTTTATTTCCCGGCAATACTTAGGAAAAAATTTTACCTACACCTTTGTTTTCTTCTAAATAGGACAAGAAAAACCGGATAGAATTTTCTCAAAGTATTGCCGGGAAATAAAGGTATCACCATCCGATCCAGAATTAAATTCTGCATCGAATGGTCTGGTTTTTATGGGCCGGCAATACTTTTGAGAAGACTCATAGTTGAATCTCTGTTTCATTGTGCTAACTCCGTCGTGCTAGCTTCACACTGATTTATTTTTAGTTAATACTCGTAAATACTGTGTCTAGGATAAATGAAAATAATCCTGAATTATATTCATCGATAATAAAGAGAAAAATTAAGTTCATACGAATTGATTTCGTCTGTTTTCTATTTATTGAGCACGAATTATGATAATAATTTATAAGTGATTAATTAAAACATATGAAGAAATACTCGCAGTTATTAGATATAGATGAAAAGTATCAAATGAAATCACTGAGACATGTAGAACTCCTTGAAAAAAAATGTTAAGGTCATGATTAATGCTAGCATATGGAATCTATCTGATATTCCTACGTGAAATCTCTGATAAAAAACTGTTTATCTGTTAAACAGGAGAGTACGGAGTACTCTTATGCTGCCATTCAGTGATTAGTAAGTTGCAATTCAAAGAAAATTAAGATACTATAGTTCATTTTCTTTCCATTGCTTGTTGATTTCATTAAATACCTTGTATAGGCAAACGACAAATGTTGTTGCAGTTGTACGACGATAAAGCCAACGAACGACTATTTTAGTGTATCTTCCTATCGCTATCGTCAAAAAGAAGAAGAAAAATAAGCAGGAGAAGAAGAAAAAACAGCCTATCCCAAATACATCGCTTGTACCATGTACATATATAGGTCTTTTTCTCGTTTGGTAAAAACGCACCGATGATCTAATGTAGCATATAGAAAAGCAGTGTTATCAATAACGGAGGAGGAAGTTTTTTTTCCTATTCTAAGCAAACATGTTGTTTCTGCAACTCATCATAGTTATTAACAACAACAAGTCGTTATTCCAGCCACTAATAGTCTATACAGAAAAAAACAACAAGAAGGTCTTAGCTATCCATGTCCTTGAGAATCATTATATTTATGTAATAAATAGATAAAAAAATCGTTTGAAGAAGAAAGAAAAAGCAAAATATTTTTTTTCTGTTCATTTCTTTATTAGTCAGCATCATAAGTTGGATAATAATTTGTTGATATATTGCCATTTGTACGTGTAGGTATATCGAAAGTGTCACTATGAGCTGAAGCATAGTCTTTTTCAGATGAACTATTGGAAGTTTTGGACGCTTGACGTAATAACTGTTCATAATTATTTGGATCGGGTTCATCAACTTTTGACTTAACCAATTTCGGTTGCGTATTTCGTTCCTAAATAGCATATGATACAAAATTAATAGAACAACATGTGCTCGTGTTTTTCAAGTTTTCGATTGAAACATGACTGAAAGAAATTGTTTTTTCCCGATAAGGACGTATTATATTCCTGCCTCTTTTTAGAATTTTATATCCTTTATTTGTTGTAACATATTTTTGTAAATGAAATAATACAATAGGAAAAAGAAGTATCCTTAAAAAAACCGCACTTTTTCTACAAAAGAACGAGAAAAAATGTCGATCCCAATATATCTCGCGCTGATAAATATGCTCTAAGAGAAAGAAAATCTTCATTAGCGGATAGGAGTTTTCTTTTCTTTCGAATTAGATAGCTACGATCTATATCTGTGGCGTATTCAGAAACAGAATGAGACGAAGAAAAAGAAAAATCTTCATGTAACAAATTAGCAAGTTTTAAAACACTTCATCGACAACATAATATAGACGATAGTTAGCTATACTTATTTGTCCCTATCAAACATGTTGTTTTCAAATAACAAAACGCATTATGATTATTGAAATTTTCGCGATTTTAGCAGTGCAGAGAGTTTTTGATTGACTAACAGAAAAACAAGTGTTGACTTAAAGACGTGCATATTTCAGTGGTATACCGATTGCCATAGTTTACTGTTTATCAAAATTATACGAAAAATGCAGAGCTTTTTAAATGATACTTTGTCTGACTGTTTACTTCATTAGGTTGTCATAGCAGTAAATTATATATATATATATATATATGTGTCGTAGGCCAATCTCGGATTCAGGTCATTCTAAGATCTGAGTTTGGACTAGTCCAATCTTGGATTGATGCAATTCTATTCATTAATATATCAATAACTTTTTATATAAACTTTGGATTTGAGTCATTTTTGGAAATCATGGTCAGATAACGTCGTTTTATGTATTACAAATATTCACGGAGAAGCTCACTTTAGACTCGGAAGCTTATTAACAATTTTTCATAAAACTTGTTCCTGTAGAGAAATCTATTCATAACTCCTAATATTTTATTTGAATCTTTCCAAAACCTATTGTACAAAAGCAAATTGGCATCGTATGAACATGATTTCAAAAGATGACTCAAATCCAAAGTTTATCTAAAAAGTTATTGATATATTAATGAATAGAATTGCATCAATCCGAGATTGGACTAGCCCAATCTCGGATCTTAGAATGGCCTACGCCAATCCAGGATTGACCAGAATCCGAGATTGGCCTACGACATATATATCGGACTAGAAGAATAGCATCGACCTTTTGGTAGAAAAAGTTTTTCTATACGAGTCTGCTATAAAAAAAAAAGAAACAACAGGCGTTGACTTCATGTGTCATTACTTCTTCATTGATTGTTTACCAAGAGACAAAACAAACTATCTTTATTGTTGATTTCAAACTTACATTGTTAAGTGTTGCATAAGCACTATCAGGTGACTTCGGTTTTCTTTGTCGACCTAATAGATTTGAATTAGTACTTGATAAATGGTCTACTATTTGTTGAATGCCCTTTTGCTGTTTTCTGTCCGGTGAGCTTGTATTTGATGAACGTGATTCTGCTCTGCTATCATAGACAAGAGTGGCACTTCCACCAATCAATTGTTTAATGACAGATGTTGTTGAAGGTGGCGGATAGAAATATTTGGAATAACTTAGAGGTGGACCTGTTTTGTTTCGTTGAGATTGACTATTATTTGTTGCTATACGGCTATTCAATGATTCAGAACTAGTTGATCGCATTTTTGAAGTTGTTAGATCAGCTAAGCAAATAAATTATTTTTGGTACGCAAGATTTTTCTCTTCATCTTACCTATTGGACGAAGAGGTAACATTGGACGTGGTTTTGGGGGGAAACGTCCACTATTATCAGTAGTTAATCTTCTAGGAGCTAGTCTAGTGACCTATGTGAGTTAGATAAATAAAAATAAAGTTTTATTTTTTTAAATTTTAGTGATATTGTTTACTTGACGTAATTTTGAAGGATCATCATATAACCGCTGTTCATGGTTGTTAGTAGTAACACTGGATTCGTTGTTGACTTGCATTTGATCGAATTTATGTGTGATCTGTTTAACAAGTGGAGCTATTGGTCGATCATTATTAGTTTCATCGGGTATTTGTGCTGAACCGTATGCATTAAACTATGAGAAAGAGAATTATTTTAAAAAGATGGAGAACTATATAAAAAAAAAACAGTAAGTACTAAAAATGGTTTATTTACTTCGTCATTGTTCGAAGTTGACCGTTGAAAAACAATATCAGTTGTATGTCGTCGTGCAAAAGCACGATTCTTTAATGACAAAAAGAAAAAGAATCATTATCAAGAATTTCATTTAGTTTTATTTACTGGACGATCTGGACCAACTGTTGTGTCAAGTAATTGAGGTAAACGTATTTCCCATCTTGACTTAGGTGTATTGAGATCAAATGGTCGTTGATAAATAGGCGAACAAATTATTCTACCTATATGAATCAATAGATTAATGACTATTCAAAACCGGCAAGATTTTACTCGACGGTCTGTTAACTGATGGTTGTCGACGAAGACAAAGCGATGGTTGGTTAGTTGATACGTGATCTTCATCGGTAGATTTTAAAGAATGAAGACTTCTCTCATAAAGTGTTTTCCAGTCTTCTCGAGAAAAAAGAAAAAAAAAGTGGTCAATGCTATTTGTTGTCTAAATTTTATTTATTAAATCAAGTTACTCTCAAGTAAACCACTTGAACGATCGTTTGGCATATCATCTTCTTGATGTTCGGTAGTATTTGAAGTTCTCTTTGTCACAGTTAATGTAGGTAATGAAAAAACTGGTAAATCATCTTCATCGTGTTCATCATAGTAATTGTAAGCCATTGAAAATAATCTGTTATTTGATGTTTTTTTCTATATTTAAAATGAAACTCAATGTTGGATGATAAAAACTTCTTTTCTTCTAGTTAAAAAAGAACCGAATGATACTAACGATAGTCAATGTAATTATCTTCTTGTTGTAAGATAAAGATAAAAAATGTGACTTCAATGTCATTTAACGGTAAACAAAGTCGCACACAACAAAAAAATGTTTGAAGAACAAACAACGAAATTAGAAAACGAAAAAAAGAACACACAATTGTATTGCTTTAATTTTCATGTAAAAGTAAACTTTAAAAACAATGAAAGTTTCAATATAATTATAGGACTTTTTTTACAAAAAAAAATCGTTTGTTTTGATAACAGGAATCTTACAATAACTTAACATATACTCCATTTTATATTATGAAAGAGGATTCTACTCGTCTGGACAATCGAATGTTTATGATAACTAGCGCTTATGATCTTTTTCGTCTTCATTCTTATTATTGTTACGTAATGATTTACAAAATTCTATTTTTCTTGCACGACAACCAATACTTGAGAAAATCTAAAAAAATATTCATTGGGCTCTATGAACTAAATGGTCACTGGAAATCTCCGTTTTCAGATAGACAATCGTCACTTTCATTGATAATTAGTTGAATCGAATTGGACAACATGAATTGAAATTCAAATATATGATTTGGATTTTGTCTCGTCAAAATTTTCTTAGTCTGAAAAATATTTATTTATTTTTGTTATTGAATATTACACGTCACGTTATTCAAATGTTTATTTTATAGGCGCTTGTGATGATGATTTTATAGCATTCTTATATTGTGAGCATTCAATTCAATCATAAACGAAGAAGAATTTATCGCGCCAATGATTCAGTGATTCATGTTAAAGTATATCTATCTGGATGCAAAACAACTTGATTATTATTATCCACCATGGTTGTTGATGGATGGAAATTTAGTAAAACATATGATTATTTTACAATTTCGATACATAATACTGTGCATAAGATGTTGATGAGGGTACGACTTTTATTTAATTCGTATGATGGGATTAAGGATTTTTTTCGAGATCCTATTTGTTTTTAAATAGTTTCAATTTTATGAATTATTCTTCATTGAAAAATTATGCCGACTAATGCCACGATATAATAACGACGTTGGGAAACTTAGAATCTTTGTATGAAAGACAGAAAAATTGAGTACTTTTACGGAGCAATATTGCATAATTCGAGAAAATGGTCAATGGCGAAAAATATATGCAATCGGGTTTATGTATTGGTGTTCTCCACGAAAACGTTCACATTTACATCCAGTCATCGAGTTAACTGGCTTCGTTCTTTCAATTTCTATCAGCGAATGAACTAAATGTGAACTTGTTACTTTTTTTTGTGGATTCATCAGCTGAGAAAATTTTTATGTGACAATTTTCAATTTGATCAAATAGCTCGAAACGAGACCTTTTTATTCGTGGCAAACAATCTACTGTTGCGTTGTGTAGCACATGTTTGAGAAAAAAGTAAACGAAAATTGCTGCGAATGTGAATAACTCTCACAGAATGTCAAAAACACTGCATTCTGTTGATAATAAAAAATAATGGAATTAAGATTTTTCATTGACTGTTACTTTCAGACATTTGTAGAAATCCATTTGTTTACTTGTTTCAATAAAAAACATCGAACGCAACATTCATGAAAACATGTTTATAACTAGAGAATGCGTGTGTTACTTTTGCGCGATGCGTAGCTAACTGAAATGATCAGCATGCATTCGACAGTGCAATTTTTTGAGAACTACGAGCATATAAAATGAATTCATTTCAATAATTGTAAGTACCTGATGTTCAAATAGTTACAACAGAGACTTGTAACAATTTGTAGCATTCTATTTGATTTCGAATCCGATGAATCACGCCATGTGTGCGTGTACTTCTGCAGTTCTAATCAAAACTATTAGGCGAACAGAAGTCCCAAATGTATCAACAGTAATTTGACTTTACAGATCTGTTTTGTTATTTGAGAGTAATATTACAAAGACACATATTGATGAAACTCTAGTTTCTATCAAACCAGTGTTGAGCGTTATGACAAACAGTGATTTGTTTTCTTGTTGGAATTCAGATCTTTACTTAATCTTATACTAAACAGATGAATGATTTTCATTGTTTCAGCTACGTCAACTAAAATAAATCTTCTTTCCAGTGATATGATACTTTTGTCGCGATTATGTTAAAATATTTGAACTCTACTATGCAAAACGTTATAAAACGACTTTTGAATGATTTTATGAGATTTATGTACTCAATTAATTCTTTTCTTCAATTTAAGTATTTTGGTTGCATCGGTATTCAGACTGAATACTTACGTGCTGCATGTCTCCCCATCTATACCGAAGACTCTGTAGTTTTCGCGGTCTCCTTCTTCTTCTTTTTTACTTACAGATCTGGATTAATTTCATTTGTGTCGTTGAAATTCTAAGAATATATCTCACGATAGTCGTTGCATGGCACATAGGTATCCATCAATTAGATATATTTTACTGATTTATTCTTGTAGAAGATTTACAAATCAATAGCATCTTAATTCGACGACAATGGAAGGTCTAGATAATCTCTATCAAATTAACCAACGCATTGAAGAACTACAACAACGTGTGCTTGTATTGATGTACACTGATGGTGAACGATGCATTAATTTCAATATGGATGCACTCAAACATGTTGGGAACATTAGAGTTGAACTTGATAATTTATTACGTGCGCGCTTTCACAGTGTCAAAGGATGCTATTCGCCAAAAACAATAGCATTGAACCAACTTAACCCGTAGGTTCGAAGTATTGACCTAGAGAATTACAAATAATCAAAAGGAACACCGATCTATATAGTCATTATCTTATTCGCCATTTGAACCATGGTTACATCACGTATTTCGTTTGATGCACTGAAAATTTTAATAATAAAATTCTGATTCTGCACAACTTGAGTCTTTTGTCTGTTGTCTTATTCAAAGTAGTGTAGTTTGCATTAACTAGCAAGCTGTGTGTAACAACAAGAAATGCTTCATCGATGACACCCGCAGTACCAGCAATTGTATGACTTGTTGCCGAACAGAAAATAAGTATCAAATCAAATCAATTATAAAAATATTCTAACTCATTTTGATAAGAATCTCTTATATTCAAACAAAATATTTTATCTATTAAAGACTTAGAATTTTCTGTGAAATCTATTTCTGTTAGAATATTATCAATTAAGAATTGATTCTGAGGTTTTGGAGATCTGATCAACACGTGTTTCTTTCTAAAGCTGGAAATATTAGTGTCGCGATAAGAAGGCAATCTAAATTTTTGGGAAATATTGTTTTGATAGACAAACTAGATTCTTCGTCTACATTCTAGCTATTTCAATTTGATATCAGGTGTCATCAATTGCCTGATTGATCTGTTGACAACGGCTAAAGGAAGAAATCGAAATTATCAACACGATAAAATAAATTTTTCCATGATAAGACTAGGTTTAAGTTTCGAAAAACGATATTGAATTCTCTTCTTGACCTTCTAAAGGAATACGTCAGATGAAAGATTAAAAACTGGTTGTTTCCTTTGTTTATATTTATATTAAGCCCCCTCCTCAAAAAAATGAAAATTGAGATAACACCATGAGGTGATAGCCCATGTTCTGCTCTTTCAGAATCATTATAGTTTTTTTTTCCAAAGACCACTTTTTGACCGAAATTTTTAGTGATCTTTGAGAGGTCCTCTATGTCAAAAACGATTTTTTTTTCGAAAAAAAACACGAGTTTTGAGTTTTTTTATCTCTAATTACTGATTAATTAATTAAGCGCTCAGCGCGTGCAGAATTAAAAGTTACGTAGGACAAGTTAGATTAGTTTCCTAAAAAGCCGCGTGAAAATTGCAAAAAATTCAGCAAAAAGATTTTCGAAAAAGTGTTTTTATATTTTTCTCAAAATCATGTATTTCCATTTTCCATCCTAGTTATTTTGCCTTCAACTATGTTTTTTCGAAAATGTTTTTTTACCATTCGATAGAGCATGCAAAGACGCAAGGCACCTCGTGATCCGATTTTTGAAAAAGCTTTTTTTTATGCCCAAAAAGGATCGCCTACAAAATTCACTTCAGTTTTTTGGCCTTTTTTCTTGAGGGTGCTGAATTGTGGAAATTTTTTTAGCTTATAGAATGGACTTTTTTAAAATCAAAGCACGAGATGCCCTGCATCTTTGCATGCTCTATCGAATGGTAAAAACAATTTTTCGGAAAAACATAGTTGAAGGCAAAATAACTAGCATGGAAAATGGGTCTTTTTTAACCAGTGTTCACTTTATAACTTCCTTAAACTTGCATATTGCGTGCTGAAATTTTTATCGTAGGCTACCCGCTCCAGTCCAAACATATCCTGAAAATTTCAGCCGATTTGGACTTTCTTTGGCGAAGATCGACTTTTGAGGGGGGGAGGAGTGGTCTTAAGGTTGTGGTTGTGCAAATAGATTTTTACATGTGAATGTGAGTAGGTTTGCAAAATTTCAACTCGCTCGAATAGTGTTCATACGCGCATCCTCTGTTCTCTTTTGATTGTCATCCTGATTACTTCTCCGCCAATAGCAAGAGAATAAACAGATAGAAGGGAGTTGTTCGCGAAGTCATTTATTCCATCGGATGGAGTTCTTTTTATTCATCAATATTGTAATCTCGAACGTAAATACTACGATCAAGATGACCAGTATCGATAGTAGCGGCAGCAACAGAAGTGCGACGGGCAGCATAGAAAGCTTGACGATCAGCATCGCTATCCAATACTATTCGCTGTTGATTTGTGGATATTTCATGGAGAGCAGATTCTAAAATAAAATTAGCATTAAACAAATTTGACGTTTAATGAAAGATAATATTCTTTTCTCTGTTCAAATAGATAACTTTATTTTTTTTTCTCAATATCTTCTAGTACTGTTTTTTTCTAAGAGAAAAGCTTTTACGTAGGTTTACAAGACTCTATCATACTTGATAGAGGTTATCATGCTTATTGTGGCTTCGATCTCTTTATTTTATTAAAACCATGCTTTTATTTTCCGCTCGAAATATTCGTAGATCGAGCTGTTATGTCTGTTCGATGAAATGATCCCATAACACATAATAACAGAAATCCAAAGACACTTAGAGACAGTTTCGATTTCTCTCTCGGCATATTGCCAAGAGGTTCAATGGAAGTATTTTAGATATTTCTATCAATTACTAGTCATGCTTATACGTGGCTGTTATGTTTGATTCAAAGAATGTATAGCTAACATGTCTCTATTACTTGAAACGTGGATAGTCAATGCTTGACATCACTAGCAACGTTCTAATTATTCTGTGCAGAATCGTCGAAAATATATAAAAACATTCACTCAGAATTGAATGATAGATCTTCTCGGAAAAGCTACTGGCTTCATAGATGAATTTTTTGTACATACTATTGAAGCGTTGTCTTAGTTTCAGATAAATTAAATGTAGCCTTTTGATTTCGTCAAAATCCATACGCTCAACGGTGAAACAAACACCAGGAAATATTAATTCTTCTTCCTCTTCAGGAAACGCAGAGTATTGTCGAATGTTTGCCGTAAAAGCGAACGTAATCTCCATTATAAATAACACATTCCAATCGGGACAATGATCGCCAATATCATTCTTTCGACTGGTTGAGGTAAATGCTTGAAATGAACCGTACTTCTCAGGTTGTTGACATATATCTCGGTAAGAGTCAATCTGAGTTGGAGTTAATTTTGCTCCTCTGTACACCGTGATTTTCTCTGCTTCTGTCGTAGCCTTTTTAGTGATTGGATCATCCCACAAGAGTAGGCAGAAGGGTCCCAATGTTCGAACTTTACTTCGCCACATTTCTTCATGTTGATTAATTCCTACCAGTCTCATAGTCTCGTTCAATGTCTTGTACAGAAAACTTTCCAATGAGTACAGATATGCACAGCATTTCCAAACTTCTTTCGCATCTTTATTTTTTTTCTCTATCAGCTGTTTGGCCATCCATCTCGCTAGATTTAGTTGCCCCACTATCTTGCCTTCTTCAATGATACCCATAGCAGCTTTTTCAACGATGGTTGAAACAACCGATGAATCCCGTGATGGTAATTGATTCTTTTGAAGCTTTAAACACTTTCTTGCTTCTTTAATAAACGGTGGTATCCAACCGTATTGACCACCAAAGGAATGTTCATGAGAGATGGCATCACATGTGTAGTGACTTTGTCGTGAAGCTGTGTATTCTCCTTCGCTGACTATACGTTTAACAGGATTTTTTTTCGTGACATCTGTTTTCATAACTTGAATATTAAGTTTGAAATCTATATAATAGTTGTCGAATACAATTTGAAGTTGTGCAGCCTGAAATGCTTCTTCGATCATAAGATTTTCTACATCTGAGTAATAGTTCCAGGAACCTGATTTGGACCTGTCCAATGAATTCCGATTTGATTGCCACGTCCATTGAATGCGTGTCGATGAATTTACGAGTTTAGACGACGAATAAGACATAATCGTTTTATGCTTTTGAACGTCAAGTCAGTAGTAGAAAATAGCGACTTGGTAATTAATATATTTTTTTTATTCTAGGAAATAATGCATCTGAAATCATATTGATATCTTCTAAAACATTGTCTTTCTTCTTATGGAATTTCAAGAATGAAACCTGCCCGAATTTCGTGACTTTCTAATTATTATGAGTTTCGTAATTCAACATTTACTAAACAAAAAGCTATAATCAATCACAAAAATATTAGAAAAATAACTGGAGTAACTAGACACTCTCAAAATGAAAACAAAAATCTCTATGAGTATCTTTAAAGCCAAGCATTCTCAGAGCTTAAAAAGCTTTTAGGAAATTGTTCGAATGAATTTTTTTTAAATATACATAGCGAATCAGCCGTTCTTAGGCTTCACTCTACTTTGCGAAACACAAGTCGTTAGACGAAGAGTAATGTTGATGCTCACTGATTTAAACTTACGTTCATATCCACTATCAGTTGTTTGCTAAAATGCTTTTGCACAAACGATTCAGAACAAACAAATGTATAAAAGACACATGTCTTGTGCGATTGTGAGCATTATCGATACAAAAGCACCTACTGAAGATGAAAACATGTAAAATGATCAAGACGAAGTCAAGATTTGTTTGACGTAGTTGATGTTTCGTCATACAAATACTGATTGAGTCATTTGAAAAAGAAGTAAGAAAAACATCTACCGTAATGCAAGTATATATTGCTTAGAAATACTAAATTTTAAAAATAACAACGAAAAGTAAAGCTGATTTGTTCTTCGTGGAGAGAAAAATCAGCTTTACTTTCTATGTAGGAAGAAAGGAAATAATGTTTGCCATGTTTTTTTTAATGCGCGTGATACTTTATTTCGAAAAATCGAATATCTATTTATGTGTGAAGTCTTGTTGTCGATCAACACTGCAATACCGATGAGAAATAAGACATCAACTATCTACATCCCTTTTCATGCAGATTTTGACAACTAGATGATATTCTGTTTTCATAAAATTTATGACTTGAAAACAGTCTACTTCATCACGAGTATAACAATTCAATCTGCAGTCTAAGTACCGCAACGAGAAAGAAAAAGTAAAATATATCTCGATCTATGCAATCTGTTCCGTTGAATTTATGATGAGTAGCAGAAATTTATTCGAATTCTATTTTAACCGGCTAAGGTAAATTAATACTATAATAACTGTTATTGTTGGTATCATGAAATTATTTTTCATATTCTACCAAACAAAACTAAATACATGCTTAACTCTTAGCGGATAATTTTCAGTTGTCATCTTAGAGTACAACACGCAAAGATAACTATCGAACACTGAAGTTTGTATAACCAATGGCTGCTGCTGCTATGTGTTTTATTGATTGAATATAAAAATATCGTTACTGATAACTAAAATTATTGGCTAAATTTTGATGTAGAGATAAGAGTGTGGTTGCTTGCTTGCTCACTCATATTCTGCTCAGTTTTTCGTAAAGATTAAGAAAATACCCAAAAAACAAGCGAAACAGGATATTCAAAAAAAGAAATGATTTTCAGACAGAATGAATCTGATCTCATTACACATAAATTATTCGAAAAGAAAATTTCCATACTTTAGGTAAACATAGCTTGATACGTATTAGTGTACTGCAGCCGGGTCGGGTAACCGGCACCCGACCCGACCCGGTACCTGGGTCCGGGTGAAAAGCTCCGGGTCGGACTGGGTGCCGGTTCTGGAAAAAAAAGTCGGGTCGGGCTGAGGAATTTTCAAAAAACCGACACCCGACCGGCCAACTAGTGATATCTAGAAGAAACATGAAATTTTCAGATATCATTGTCGATTTCAGTCATTTCAGTCATAGGAATGTGAATCTGATTGGGTTATTATTCACTAATATATTCAATAGTCACGACGGGTCACCTAACCTAACCCACAAACACGATTGTTCTACTTATATGTTAAAGAAACTTCGCTAAGTGTGCTAGCTGCTTTATATAACTGATCTATTACCGCCTCACATTTACATGAATCATCGTAAGTATCCATTCTCACATACTTCTACATGTTCATTAATTTTTACTTTTTATCCTAGCTCAGCTCTTCATCATCTCTTCTACCACAAAAACGTAGTTTTTAATGTTATATATTATTGATTGTAAGTATTCATTTCTCTATAATTTCTCATTTGAATTCACTTCTATTTTATCTTCTAGACCTTAGTTGAACAACAAAAACATTGTTTTTGATGTTATTTATTATTTTTATTGATCTTTTATTATCAATTATTTATTATCTATTATTTATTATCGATTATTTATCTCATTGAGATCATCTCACTAATAAACTATTAGCAAAATTTTGACCACAATCCGGTCGGGTGCCGGTCGGTTACCGGGTATAGTTGTCCGGGTCCGGTTCGGGTCCGGGCGTAAGGCCACCGGGTCCGGGCGGTTCCGGGTGTGGGAAAAATCAGTCGGGTCGGCTCCGGGTATGAAAAGTTGCACCCGTGCAGGACACTAATACGTATTTGATATTGTATATAGATCATGTTATTGGATGAACGAACGTTTTTAATATCAATTTATATTATTTATCCACTTAATTTATCTTCCTAAATAGCAAATATTTTTTTGTGCCCACCGAAGCTAATAAATTACTTTCAGATATGACTACAATGAATAATTTCATATCGATACCTAAAGGCAATACCCAACAACGTGTAGCTAATTGAATCCGTACCCTCAGAAGATTGACTGGCGAGGGAAGGTCTCCAAGTGATACCAACCATTCGGGTTTTATAGTCTCACTGAGTCCTACATATGCGCACAACATGAGCCCGCATGGTTGGTATCACTTGGAGACCTTCCCTCGTCAGTCAAAAGTATCCAATTCAATTAAATATTCGTAGATTGCAACTAACATCTTTCTTTCGGAAATTAATTACAGCTTCACTGTCCGTAGTTTTACAACTCGAATCAGATTCGAAGTATAATTCTCTAGAAGAAATGTGCTAACCATAGGGATAGCAATCTTCGTTGGTATCTGCAGAAACAAATTGCAGTTGAAAAGTTCCTTCATATTTAGTTTTCGACTGAGTGATTAGAGGACTCGCTTAGATTTGATTCTGATTGATACCAGTGACAACATAGTTCGCTTAAAATCAAAGAATATTTTAATAAAACCTATAATATGATTCGGCACAGTTTTCTTTATAGGCCTCATTTTGGGTATACTGAATGCTGTGACCGTGTACATTTTCAGACACTGTTGACACGCGAATTCTCTCCAATGATATCTATATGAAAGTTCTCCCGTATCTTCGCATACGTTTTTACATGACTGAAAACAAATCTTGTTTTACTTATGCAATTTGAGAATCTAAAAGGTTTAGTTATTGTGCACATCTGGTAATTTAGATGATCTGAACCTCAGTTTCAGATTCTACTAGCCAATAGCAATTATTTAATGCATGAAAATAACCAATAATTGTTTTTCTATCGACATTAATGTCCTGATCTATTATTAAAACTAGATTGCTAGATTATAAATCATGAAGGTTCTTGATAAAGTACAGTGGTTATTCTCTTTCTCTCTCTCTCTCTCTCTGCGTATTTTATTCAAAGGAAACCTGAAGATGCTCTTGAAACTATTTTTTCTCTATTCGGTAACAACATCTCAACTTCTTTTTCCCCCCTTCTCCATCCTAGCACACTCTTTTGATCGTTGTCAACAACAAAATGATCAACAAAAAAAATATAATTAACATAGTGTCTAAAATAGTGATTCATCAATACTACCCCTTTTTTACATTATACAGAAAATGAAACCCATCAATTTTAATTCTTATAAAGATTGGCTAAGGTTTCATATTATTTCGACTTGAAAACAACAAGAGCAACAAGACCAAGATAAGTTTTTTCTATTCATTCAATTACACAAAAAAAAACTCTACGTGAATTTGTTCGTTCATTCATTGCAAAATGCTTTCTCAAGCAACTTCATCAAATTTGTCGGAAGCAATGTTGAGAAGAAGAAAACTTGAAAGAAACCTGAAAGAAAATGAAATATCGGTTACCGATCGCGATCGAAATAAAATACGTTTAAATATGGATCGTCATATGGAAACATTTTTACAATTGAACCGTAAACGACATGAAACTTGGTATCGATATGATAAATATTTTCGCGAAGCTTTGAAAAAAGATAAAGATCGATTTGAAAAACGTAAACAACGTAATCAATCATCAACACCATTTAATATGATAGCTTTACCATCACTTGTAACAATAAATTCTCGTCCAGAACCAATGACAAAAGTTGAACGACGTACCTATCAAGTTTTAAATGCTTCACAGAAGTTACTTGATGAATCAATGGCACGATCGAAATCTAATGTTAATCAAAGTCGTCCTTTAACATCTGCAAGTACTTTTAAAAGTTGTTCGATAGCAACAATAAGAAGTTCATGCACAACTACCAGTTCGAATTTCATTGTACCAATGATGCACTCCATGGAAAGTGAAGAATATACTCGTTTAATGAACGAATCATTACGACATGAAACATATTCGGATTTTGTTGATCATTTTGTTAAATTTTGTCCAGAATTTCGTGAAAAATTTCCTGATTATCATCTTGCAAATCAACGACAAACTGCTGTGGAAAAATTACGAAAATTCAATCAATCCTTTACCAAGATAAAAGATCAACGTTTTCATAACTTAGTTAATAGTCTTAGCGATTTTCGTTTGGAAAAGAAAACAAACATGAAGTAATTTTGTTTTTGTTTGAAATTCATGGCATTTGAAGCAAAAAAAAATATTATTCATAATTACATAAATAAATGAAAGTTTATTAAATAAATGGATAACATATGGACGCTTACAAAAAGAAAAAAAAAGTGCAGCGTATTTACAATCGATATATTAACCGGAACAAGCAATCCAAAAAACACAGAGAAGTTAAAGAGATAGTTGAGGATGAAGTCTAAAAGAGTTAAGATTATTCGATCAGAAGTTCCTTTATTGTCTCTATCTGAGAATGAAACAAAGACAACAACAGGATTATGATTTGAGATTAGCCAACATTCGTTCAATTTCAGCATCTTCATCATTTGCCTGTCGTCGATTAGATACCATACCAGTTGCACCCGCTGGAACACGTGGTGCAACAGCCATCTGAATAGATACGAATTAATAAAATAGAATTAAAGTAACAAAATAAAAATCTTACTTTTTCATTAAAGGAAATGCCTATTTCATCAAGTACTTGATTAACAATAGCATCTTCTTCTTCGGAATCACCTTCTTGTCCAAATGCTGCATCTAATGTTTCGCCCACTACATAAACAATTGTCTATTAGAAGAAGAACACGAACTCTAAAAAATGTTCACATACTCATTTCTTCTTTGATGCCCAGTTTTGTATGTTCTTGAGTAAATTGTTGAGTAACTCTTGACATTTGTGCTGGATTCATCACTTTATTCATTTTCGCCATAGTTTTAGCAGTCGCCTATACAATAAATTTTTCAAAAGAAACAAAAACCAATCAATCAACAAATCAACCTGCATTGTATCAGCCATTCGCATGTTTGATGCCATCATTGTATTTTGTGTAGCTAAACCTTGAATTTGACCTGATGCTTGAAACGACTGAGCTTTTTGATTTCGAATTTTAACCAGTTGTTTAGCTAAGATTTCAACTGCCTATAATAATAAAAATATTTAGGATAGAAAAGAGATACGCTCTTTTTGTGTACTCAAAAAAAGTGAGTACACTATAGAATCGGTCAGTGTGTCCGGCCGGCCGTTAACACGATAACCTTTGAAAGCCTCATCCAATTGTCATGAAATTTTGTACAAATAATGATCTCATTAATATCTCAGTCGAGTTCGAAGATGAGAAGAATCCGTCAAGAAATGGCTGAGTTATCGAAAAAATTGTCATTATTGACCAGACCATCCCTGAGGGAGGGTACAGAGATTTTTTGAAAAAAAACGTTTTTTTCTCAGAATTATTCACAACATATATAAATCGACCGAATCTGATACTAGTTTTGAACTAAATCGTAGCTTTCTAACGAAACATCGCCTGAAAACGGTCTCAAAATGCACAAAAACTGCATCCAGAAACCAAAATGCCTAATTTCTCATGGTAATTTTGGTGTTCAGACATTCTAGAATGACTCATATGTCCCATGTACTTTTTGCAGTACACATAGCTTTCGGATGAAATCCGAAGTTTCCACATTTTTTATTCTTACCTTTTTATTTCCAGTCGATGCATTTTTTCGAATTTCATTGACCTCGAAACGATAAATTAAGATTAATTTTGTTCATAATTATATCATCTTACTATTCTCTGTTCTTCAGCTTCAAGTCTATGTCGATCACGTACTAATTCACGATCAGTTTTTCTTAATTCACGACTATGCGCTTTCGCTTGATCTAGTATAGACAAATTTTAAAATAAAAATTCTTCTCTAAACTAAAAAAATCTTTTTCGCTCTTTCTACCTGATACCGACGTTTTCTTGCCGAACATTAATTATCTTAAAAAAAAAAGAATCATATATTTAAATATTTAAAATTTTGTTCTATCGATATTATCATCATCATCATTTGGTTTATCAATTGGAAAGAAAAAATTAAAAACTCCTTGAACAGCGTGTCCTGATGTGTATTCATGTTTTGGATGTCCCGCTGATACTTCTTGACAAGCTGGTCCTTGAGAAAAGTCATATACATAATCGATAGGCGCTCCCATTGGCTCATCGCTAGCAATAAAATGTATAGCGTTTGATTTTAAGAAGCTTTTTATTTCATTTGATTCCAATGGTAATACCGAATGAACAGAATCCGTAAAAGCTATTTTGGCAAGTTTCGGTAAAATTTTATCATAACGTTTACGTAATAAAAACATTAAACCATCACCCCCAGCAGAATGTGCAACAGTGTAGAATTTTGTTGCTGGACATTGTGTTATAATATGATCATAAACATAAAGAACATGTTCACGGCTTGTGGATAAATCCGGAATCTTTTTTGTTATTTGCCGAGGCAATGGATTGGTCGACAGATAAAACGAAATAATATCGTCATCAATAGAATTTTCGTCTTTTTTATTCTTATCATCACTAGTAGCTGAAAGTTTTTCTTCTGTAGATTTACTTTCTTTATCTGTAGTAGACGTTGAATTTGTAACGACAATATCCTCCGTTTTATTGCTAGCATTTGTATCTTCATTGGCACTGGCCTCTTTCTTGTTTACAGAAGCTGTATCATCATCAGTATCAACTGACACTTTTTCAACATAACTTGTTTGATTGGGATTAAGAATGATCACAGATAAATTATGTTCTTTTGCTTTAGTCATGTAAGGGAACATACCTGAGAAAAAAAGAAATTAGCCTTTTGCTTTTAAACGTCTCAAAGAAAAATTCTACTTCGTAGTTTATTCTTTTGAATATTTTTACCCTATTATTTACATATAACTTATGAACACTGGCTATATTCGATGCTATTATTGCAGGACGGAAGCCTGGTCTCATAACTGATCTAACTAAATTCTGCACGCAAAGATTTCAAGCTGAGTTTGAAATTAGTGTTATAAGTGTTTCTGAGGAACACGAAAGCATTGAATCAAATAAGTAGAATAATAAAAATCGATTATACTATTCATTGCTCATGGGAATCTACATGGCCTTGGTTTTCAACATCTTTCTTTGTTTTAATTTCATCTGATCGGCCATCCGTTTTAAATCATAACATACTTCCTATGTCGAGTGAATCATTAATGCAACATGAACGTGCCCATTGGCCTGGACGTACGACACCTGAACCTTGAAGTAATATTAAACATCCATTCTCGTTCGTATTAAAATCACTAGATGTAAATATATTAACTTGATCAGAATGATCATCTGTAGGTTCATCTTTGATTGGTAACCATATTTCTTGATAATTCCATGGATCAGATTTCATCAATGATTGAATATATGTATCTATACAACTGCCAAGTAAATTATAATAACGTTGTGTAAGAAAAATAAATTTTTCATTTGTTAAACAATTTCGTAATTCATTTGAGTTATTATACGAATAATTAAAATCCTCGATCGCTTTTGGATTTTTTGTTTTCGGTATTGTTAAGAGAATATTATTAACACGAGTTTGAATTTTTTCTGGAAGACTATTACGATCAATTGGTTCATGACAGTAATGACATGTCAGTTTACCAGTTAATAACGAAGCAACTTTGCCGGTATCAATCGCTGATGAAATAAATTTAGACCAGCATGTTTCACAACAGCTATCAGATTTATTTGGACAACATTGATATAATTTTGTTGATTCTTCATTACAAATGGCGCATTCATCTACGTTTTCAGATGTATCATCCATCTAGAATAAATGAAAAAGTTCGAGAAACTCTTGTTTTACTTGACGAATCAAACAAAAAAATAAATGATTAATACAAGATTAAACAAATTCATATGCAATCTATTACAGAGTGTCTTGTTCTATTAAACGATGTTTATATTCTTTGACGCTTATTGCATCTTTGTGAATTGGCATGATTTCAATCATATGAACGAATGTATGCATGAAGATTTCAAGTAAAACTTTTCATCATTATTGATTGTTATATTGCAATCAAAAATGTGAATGGCCACTTCTATTGTTTGGATTAGTACTTGTATTACTTGATACTTGAGAATTAATAAATGCTGTTGGGTCAGCATACGTTGAATCTTGTGATAATAATTGATGGTGTTCATTTTGAGAAGGTTGATAAACATCATACATATCCTAAGGTAAAAGAAATGATTTTTAATGAAGAGAAATTCTTGTGCTTTTGATATAAAAATGGTGATTAATTCAACTATCTCTCAACATCGTATAGATAGAATTACGAAGAATTGATAATGTACTACCAAAGTTTTCTTACTAGTCACCATCTCAGAGTTCAAAATTTGATAGAAAACATAATTCAAAAAAACAATAATTATTACTGGGTGTAGAAATTTCAACGATTTCTTTGTTGAATTATCATTAAAAACTTACCGGTTGAGAAAAGTCTTGTTGTGAAAAACCGTATGCATGTTGTGACATAAGACCACCTTGTGATATTGGATAAGGTTGACTTATGGTGCCACCTTGAGTAAAACTTGCATTATCCTATACAGAGAATTCATTTTTGTTTTGTCATTACGAATTATGATTCTATTAAATAAAATGCACACCTGTGATTGTGTTGAATTATTCTTCGAGAAACGTGGTGGTCTTGATGGATTTTTTCCTCTTGTTGTGCCGCCTCGAGCACCGCGCCCCATAGTTGTTTGATTATTCATTTGTCGATCTAAATAAAATTATGAATAAGAACATGCAGAAAAAAATATCTCCTCTTTTGTTTTTTACTAGTAACTTACCATTCATCATCGGATTAAATGTTGGTGGTCCACCCATATATGGCATTGGCATAGAAGACATCATCATTTGATGTGGCATTGGCAAATTTAGTCCACTGGGTGGTTGTGACATACCACTCATCGATCCAGTGTCAATATAACTTAATGGATCATGAGTACGAAGATTTGAATTAATACTATTTCCATACATCGGTCCGTTCATTAGACGTTTATCACTTAATGTAGCTGTTCGATCATAGATTGATCCAGGAATCATTGCTTCTTTAGCTTTAAAAAGAGTGAATTCGGTTTTCCCTACTTTTTCTATGGTCAAAAAACAAACAAACCAGAAAACATAGCATTGGACATGAAGCGACCACCAGGATTCGTTGGATTAAGAAGTTTTTTCGGTTTTGAAAATTGTATAGCACTTTCTTTAAGATTATTTAATGGACCTTCAACAAGTACACGTTGCTCTTTGTAGTATGTTAATAAATGATTCCACAGAGGTTGACGTGAAAGAACTTTTGGATTACCAATTATAATGATACCATATCTGTAATTTGAAGATCATGCTTTTTTTATTCTGATATAGATGAAAAACTAAAGTTTACTTTGCTCGCGTTAATGCAACATTCAATCGACGTGGATCATTTAAAAAGCCAATACCTTGATGTTCATTTGCACGTACACATGAGAGAATAATAAAATCTTTTTCACGTCCTTGAAATGCATCAACACTAGCAACTTCAATTTCTTGGTAAAGCTTTTCATTTAATGAACCACTATATTGCATATGTTGAACGATAAAAGCACGTTGTCCTTCATAAGGTGTTATTATACCGATTTGTTCAGGTTTTATACCGGCTTTTAGTAAGCGTGTAGCTGTTTTTTCTACCGTACTTGCTTCTGTTCGATTAAGATATGATGTACCACTACTAGATATCTCTTCTTGACCTAATGAGCAATGGAAAAACATTGGTTTATCCGGCTGAATCCAAGGAAAATCCAAGCCCTTAATGGTACGTTCAGCAGATGTGACACCATTTTGAAGAGAGCCTAAAGAAAAACATAGGTAATAAATCCGACATGACCCATGAATTCCAATGATAAAAACTTTAGAGAAAAATTTACGTTAGGAATATGACAAATATGAGCTCATCACCGACACTTGCCTACGTTTACATGGACGTGCAGAAAAGATTAAAACACATCCCTACAAGATAGACTTGATATCTCAATTTTGCAGCAAATGTGGTTGCCAGTGTAATTAATACAGCTGTAATTTTGTCTTGATGACTTGCAACGTTTATTAGTTCAGCGTTTGATGGTCTCCAGTATGATCAAAAATATTATCTTGCATTGGGCAGTTTAGAATCTTCAGTAATGTGCTATCTCTTGTAAAGCTTTTCATATTTGTAATATTTTTAAGAAGAAAAGTATAATACTCAGATTTTAAAAATATAGAAATAAAAGTCTCTTATTTTTTAATATTTTCAAATGAAACTGTCAACAATTATGCAAATTTTGCTAGAAATTTACCAGGAATTTATTTTCCTTATTGAATAATATCATCAAAATTTAACTATAAATCTTATAATAGGACAGTTTATCCATAACACTATTTGCCATTACGTTCATACAGTTATATCAGATAATAATATCGTTAAATCTTATCATTGAGTATTCGAATCAAAGCAGCTATACAAATCAATGTTTTATTCGATGCAAACATCAAGGAACTGACATCCTTTCAAAAAATTGATGAATACTTCTATGAACTACGATAATTGTACTGCATACTCCGTATGCTGAAACGAACTTTATCCTTAAAATATATATTTCATGTTTCTACGATGGTCAAAAAGAAATGAATCACCCTTAAGAGTTATGCTTGGCAGTCAACTTCACAAAGAACATGTTATGGAAGCAGTCGAATATTGTAAATAAACAAATAATAACAAGTACAAACCTTCGTAAAAAATATTTGATGGAAAAGCTGATAATGCTGGATGCATTCGATATTGTACTTGTAATCGAATTGGACGAATTCCGAGCACAACAAGACGTTCAAACAATGATTGACTTAGACCAGCTTTAGCTGCTTTTTTACTCATGACAACAGGTCCTAATTGGCAATGATCACCAACTAAGATAAGTTGTCGAGCGCCAAGTACCACTGGTACCATACATTCTGGTTCTGTTGCTTGTGTTGATTCATCAATCAGTATTGAGCGAAATTGATATCCATGTGATAATCGTGGATCACCAGATCCGACACATGTACAACAAATAACATCGGCATTACGAAGTAAATCACTTTCACATTTACGTTTCAATGCTCGATAACGTTTTTCATCAGCTGATGATAATTCACCGGTTTCATCTTTTAATTGTTGTAATTTTTTCAGCTCCGGTTCACTAGAATTCAAAATTCGAATACTCTGTTTCTTAGTATTAACGAATAACAACTTACCTTTCAAGATTTCGTACTTGATTATGTAATGCTAGAAACGAAACAGGTGAATCAAGTGCTTCTCGACTTTTTGCACAAAGACGAACAACTTTTAAGCCTGTTTTATGGATTTTTTCTGTTAACTGATCGACGGCAATGTTACTCGGTGCACAAACAAGTACTTGTCCTTGATTCTGTTTAACAAGATGATAAACAATAGTTGCTGATGTTACAGTTTTTCCCGTTCCTGGTGGACCTTGAATAAGACTTAGTGGACGCTGAAGAACTGTTTTAACTGCATAAACTTGTGAGTGATTTAGTTCAGGTAAACCCGGTGCAGAGAAACGCTTTGGTAATGTTACTTTCATAACTAAATCTTCTACTTCATGACCTAACAAACGATGATATAGATAAGCTGAAACACTATTTTCATCGACAGCAAATGTTTTTAATGCTGCTTGCATTCTAAATAAGATCGAATTCAGAAATAAATATGAATGAATTTTCATTTTAGAAAGCAGCTTACCGATCAAATGAAGTTGATTTCCAAACGAATTCAACAACAAAATTTGAACTATAGTCAATCGGTGCACCTTGACTTATTTTTAATTCGATACCAACTTCTTCTCCATAGTCTAAAGAAACATTTTAGAACATTCATAAAAAGATTCTGTGTCAGATTTTTACTATTTGGAACTTTGACGACATGTCCAACTCCGCCCCATGTTGATTTCATTGGATCACCAACATATCTTAAACGTAATTCATCGCCTGCCATTAATCTCATTTCTAGAAAAGACAATAATTTGTTGTTAAAATGATCAATTTATAGTTCTATTTTCGTAGAACTCATATTATGTTTATCAGAAGAAAATAAAGTGAGAATGAATTTTAATGTGGTCATTTTCTTTAGTGATAATGATATCAAAGATTGTTGAGTATATCTCCCCTTCAAGAGAAAGGAGCATTGGCCATCAAGTACGTTGTCATAGTGATCAAAGGCAGAGCAGATATTAAACTTTTTGAAATTCTACTGATGATGGAAATGGCTGAAATATACTGAGGAATGCGGGATATTTACGAAGAAAACAATTTCTATTCAGGATACATAAAATAATCAGTATTGGTGCCTCAAAACTTTTAGAGATATTAACAAGAATGTTGACTACTACTGTGTTCATGATGAATATGTACTATACACTTATTTGTTAGTTGAGCTTCTTCATTTCTGGGGAAAACAACGAAATATAGATAAATTTATGTGAGAAATTTTCGAAATTGAAATATCTTATCGATAGAATACATTCAATAGAAAGACAGTTTTTGAGAGACTTATGCACTCAATGATTTACAGGAGTTTAAATTTTAAACTAACAGAATAATATAATCAATGGCGGAATAAGAAACGAAAAATCGATGAACTGTAAAATTGCGTGTTCAAAACACAGAAATGAATAAGGCAAATCGTATTCCTAATGATCGATTATTCCTGAAATCTCTCACTCAATTTATTTTCTTTTTGTATCAATAGAATGAATCTGAAAACAAAATATGAGCTCCACATTTTAGCCTGAAAGAGACTACCCAAATGAGTCGTTTATGTTTACCTTCATTGGCTTTAGGTAAACTAAAATAAGCTAAACGTTTTTTATTTAAACCCATATCCCATCGAACAGAAATATTTTCTTGTGTTTGTGATTCTTTTATTTTTCTATCATCATCGGCTTCCATTTTAACTAATGGACCGAATATATTTTGATATTGATAAGCATCTTCATATCGTAAACTACACTGTTGAGGTTCTTCATCAATGCCTGGTTTATCAAGATCAGTTATTGTTGCATCAGGATTTTCTTTCCAAAGTTCTTCTAGACGATTAATCATTTGTGCTGTTATTTGTCGTGCTCGTAATTGTTCTTGTTCAGATGGAATTTTTACAAGCCATGTTAAGAAACATCGATCTTGAATTAATGGTTGCCATTGACTTGGATCCCTATTTTAATTGAATTTTAAAATCAAAATAATATTCTTTAATTGTTTCCCATACCAATTCATATCTTTAAGTGCACTTTGACTTGCACATGGCTGTCGACAAAGTAAAACTACGACACTATCAGCTTTTGCTGGTATGAAGCCAAGTAAGAATGCATTACGACATCCACAATTGTAACATTCTAATTGTGTTTCACCCAATGGGCCATCTTTGTGCAATGTGACTTCTTTACATCTTGCACGAACTAGATGATTAACAATATGACTAAAGATAGTTATACAAAAAAAAAAGATTCATAACTTCTAGTTTTATATTAGACAATTTTTATTCTACCTTCCTGATGTATTTCCTCGTCCATTGCAAAACCACTTTTTCGTTTGATTACACATGACTACTGCTGCTGGATCATGAATTCCACAATAGCTACAATCAAACAAAAAATTCTAGGAGATCTACATGTCCGAATTTAAGTTTTACGTTTAGATCAGATCTCGAATCAACCTATGATAATCTCTTTCCTATTTTTCAAGCAAATAAAAATTCTCAATCCATTGAGAACACAACGATTGATAGTTGAACCGTAAAACATTATATTGACTTTCTTCTGCATGTATTAAGATAAAACATACGCGTGATTCATCATTTAACACAATAGACTTAGATTATATCTGTAGCTGCACTTTATAATTCAGATAATTAAATAGTTTGTTAAAACTTTTTCTAGTATATCATAGATTGAACTCGGAATTGTTTTAATCAAAGATTAATTAAAAACTTCACATTTAGCTTCAAAAAGAAAATGACTTACGCGCAAGCATGCTTTGGTAAATCTCTTTCATAAAATCCTTCTTCTTCATCTTCAAATGGTAAATCACGTTGTTGCATGGAACTTGTTTTATTACCCATTGCTCCATCAAGATCATCGATTTGAAAATTTGTATTTGTGTCAGTTAATTGTAAATGACTTTGTTGAGATGGTAATGTTAGATCATCAAAAGCAAAATCAGTAGCTTGCGTATTTCCAGTTGTTAAATCAGGATCATAAAAAATTAAAGGGTCACGAAAATTTGATGAAGGATCTTGAGTAATACTTGCATTATAAGTCATTTTTATCTGAAAATGGATTTTTCTTTACAGTGTGACTTAAATTCTACAGAAGATTTTCTTTCAACAAAATATTTATTTTGAAAATGAATGAATAGAGATTCAGAATGATTCAGAGAGATCATGACACATATCCTAACGATATGTATATTAACCAATAAGATCATTTCAAATATGAGTAAATGCAATTCTATAGGCAGAGTAAAGTTATTGAAAAGTAAATTTATGTTTATTTCAACGAGACAGATAGAATTTATAGATAAATTATTTCAGATATTAAAACAAGCTATACTGGTGCGACATCTGTTGAAGCTGTTTACCTAGGCAAAAATTACAAGATAGAGATTGTTTAAAATCATTTCAATGCCAATATGATCGAGTGGCAAATAAATCGTAAAATTACATTGAACACAACTAACAGTACAAGAACTTTATGCATATTCCAAATTTAATATGAACATTACGGCGCAGCATAGTTCTTTTTGATGCCATATATTGTTGCTCAAAGTTAAACTGTATTGGTATTACAGATAATGAAATCTTCAAGCTTCCCTAGTCGAACTTTTTTTTGCAAGCGCATGCAATTCTTGACTTTCTTGATCAAGAAAGTCAAGAACTATGGGCACATCTTGAGGCAAGACATGAACCCTTTCGGTGAGCTGAAGCTCTTAAACTTCTTGTTCATACGCTTGAATTTTTATCTAAGCGTTTTTGTTATTGAAAAATTGTTTCAACTTTTCTTTTTTCAATTTTACATTCGCAATAACTCAACTTTTAATAAAAAATTATAGTTGCATTTTTTTGTAACTCATGCAAACATTGAAACGCTTGTCTTGAGCAAGAAAGTCATGCGCTATAGGCACATCTTGAGCTTAAGTCGTGCAAGCGCATGAATAAAAAAGTTCGACTAGGGTTGTACTTTTGACTTTCTAACTTCAAAATAAAATCTTAAACTGAAAAAAAAATACAAAGAATATGGTTTCCTTTTCTGCTGGAATAATATGAACTTAGTATAAAAGTTCATAGGAATTTGAGCGGCACTGGAAGATATTCAAAGTTTCTTTAAATTTTTGATTTTTAGTGTCGATTTTCTAAAAATTGATGTCTTGACCACAGATTGAGCAAAGCATTGTTCGATAGAATACCATATTCATTAAATAAGTTCACGCAATCCAAAATGAATTTATTAATATTTTTTCTATATTATTAATTAATTCTCTGATTATATTTCATATCCAATATGAATCTCACATATAAAAAAAAAGGTGTAGCATTTGAATTGTAGCCATTAAGTACGTTATAATAACGGATGTAAGAATGGATCATATTTCATAGATTCTATTTTTAGAAGAATTTTTTATAAAAGATTAGTAAATTATGAAATAATATCTAATGATTGAAGAGGGAAAACAAATGTCAGTAACAAGTTTTTTTATAGCACATTTGTGAACAACATTGGTTATTATTTTCACACCATGCACCTGGACAATAACAACCAAAACCAACACCTAGAAATTGACTTATTTTTGAATCGCATTGAAAATGTGTCCCAACAGTTCCTGACATTGATGGTGCATTGTTCTCGTGATGATGAGACTGAAATCGTGCTTTTTGCTCTAATTTTCTATGGAAAAATAATACTGCCGCATCCGATGATGATAACAATCGATTAATTATTATAATAATAAATAATAGTAACATTTTCAATCGGTCTGAATATGAGACAGGATGGTGTCAAAATATTAAAACCAATGTTACGATTAAATTTGGATAAAAAAAATTAAAATGCATACATAATCATGAGTTAAATCAAATAAGTTCTATTGATTTGTATTTGTACTTAAAAGATTTCTTCTATATTTTATTCTCAATATAAATATATATAAGTTCAACTATCGGCATTCTTATAAGTGGAAAAAATGAAAATGATTGAGAAGGAGAGACAAATTTATGGTTAAATCATTTCCTGTCACCGACAATTTAAATCGTTGGGAGCAAAAATTTCCATCATTTTGTTTCTATTTGTCAAGCGTTTAACGAAGTTTCTCCGATCAATATTCTTATTCAATTTTTCCATTCAAGCAATAATATTTAATAATAATCGAACAATACCGAAATTCTTCTCGTTATATCTCTGTGAATATTAAATTCAGTTTATATTCTAAAATGTCTGTAAAATGTAGAAAAACTATAATTTGTTGGTAAGTGCATAGAAATTTGCATCATCATTCTGATGACTTGTATTTATGATCACATTGATTGGCTACGATATATCGTCGTTTTTTCTAAAGTCTTCACATGTCATTAAACGTATATTGATTAATTTCGATAAACCATTATCTAAAGTTGGAAGAAGAATTTTTGTTTCTTTTAAACCTATAAAACAATGCGTAAATAATTTCATAGTTGACTTTTTTTCTGGTATTTCTACTCGAGTTTTATTGATACTATTGTAAGTGTGAAGATTTAGGTTCATCATTGAAATGAAAAAAAAACAAACAATCATGGTAAATATTCTGGAGTATAGTTGAGTTACACCGAGAAACTTCTTGCTTTCATGTTATTCAAATTATAGTCATTACAAAGATAGCAACAATCACAATAGCTTTGGACGTGAAACAAAATGTCGTATTGGTTCTAGCACACAACCATTATCAACAGTAACATATTCAAAAAAATTATATTGCATGCGATAATAACATGATAACGAGTGTTGAGAATTAATTCCGCTTGAAAAGTTTATTTGGACTTTTCAATGTTCTTGTTAATGACACGATGGTGAGATGATCGGTCATTTTTCGGGACTCGAACTATTTTCACACACATAAAGTCCTTAATACTGTCTGATAATTATTTTCTCTACGCAGATTTCAACTGTGTACATTGCAAAGAAATCTTTTTTTCAATGTTTTCTTCATCAAAACAGAAACAGTCGATCGTAGTAGTCAGTGCAAGATTAACTTCGTTGATGAGAAGAAACTTCACCTTGACATATGAAAGAGATTATAGAAATAATAATAAAATATTTTTCCATGGATAAATAGAAATGTTTCGTCAAGAATACCTCATTTAATAAATTATACGTCTTCTCATGATGTACAGCCAAAAGTGTGAAAAAGATTATCATCAATTGAAAAGCATGAGCGCTGTTAAACATTGAACAAGCATTAGCCGAATTTTTACAAGTAAAGAATCATGCTACATATATACTTCATAATAATACATAATAAAAGTATATTTATTATTATTTGTTATAACTAAAGGTCTATTCCAGTTTAGATGTATTTATAGGAATTTTTTTCTAATGCCAGGTTCGCATGTCCAGAGATCCATCATCGATGCATCAAGCTTCTTTACGTATGCATGTTATAGTTGATATTAAAAAAAGAAAAGAAATCAGATAGCTTTATCGCAGATTTTGCTGGACCTCATAAAACACAATTTATGTATGAATTCAATAAGCTTTTAAAGTAATTCAAGAGTGAAGATCCGGAGGACTTTCAAGATCTATCATACTAGGTCATTATTAAGAAACTTCAAAAAAATATCAGCATTATTTTTTAACAAAGTAGGATCGAAATGAGAAAAAGAAAAATCGTTTCATTGTTTACAATAGCATTTCACAGTTTTTTTAGTTCATTCTATAAGAAAAAAGTATATCTGCAAGACGACAAACAATAGAATATAATACATGTGGTACAATAACATTAGAAAAACAAAAAATAAGAAATGCCAAAAGTAAGTGAAAAAATACAATACTAACGTGCTGTATGTAGCGCTCCGTTTAACGCACGATATTCGCGTTTAAAATAAGAATGCATAAGATTAAAATTATTATACATGCATGTAGTGCAACATACTCGATCACATGTTACACATTTAGAAACTTGTTCTATATTGAAGTGAATGATGTTATTGCATTTATAGCAAAATCTATATCCATTAAGGTGCCGATTTATTGGATCTTCAGATACGCCTGCTACGTAAGAATGGCCCATATTGTAATTAAGCCTTGTAGTATATGTTGGTGGCGTTGTAGTCATCAATGACGAGTTATAGCTTATTTGTTGTGGATAAGGTTCAAATGAGAGGTATTATTTAATGCTAACTGATCAACATTTTGAACATTGATGTAAACATTGTTAGCTACTTGATTCTCATGAAGCGTTTTTTTCTTCGTTTGACGTGTACTAAACGAAATAAATTGTTTCATCTATAATAGTATGAAAATTACCTGCCCTATATTTTTGTTTAGTTGTAAGTTTTCTTTGTTGGATCTTTTTATTCGAGCAGTTTCTTTCTTTTTAATTATTATATAAGCATCAATGCTGGTAATGCTTTCACCGTAAGGATGATCTATTTTTCTCTTTGTTCCTTTCGTTGCTACTACAGTTGGTGTCATGTGGTTCTTGATGGCAACTGTAATAGCGTCGACCACTGAGCAATCCGATGTTTTTGAATATGTTACTGTTGATAATGGTTGTGTGCTAGAACCAATACGACATTTTGTTTCACGTCCAAAGCTATTGTGATTGTTGCTATCTTTGTAATGACTATAATTTGTATTATAATTAATATTTAGACAGATAAGACAGTTAAAAAACAATCATGTAAACTGAGAGAAAGGTTCCTGCTTTTTGTGTAAAACTATCATCCAATACTACTGAATTAGATGATGGATGATTTTGAAAAAGCATCTGGTCTAAAGTAGAAATAATATTACAATTTCGATAGGTCTATTAAAACAGTTCTGCCTGGAACTAGTGATTGATCAAAATCAGGATACAATATCTTCAGAGTTTCTAAATGTGTAACATGTGATCGAGTATGTTGCACTACATGCATGTATAATCATTTTTATCTTATGCATTCTTATTTTAAACGCGAATATTGTGCGTTAAATGAAGCGCTACACACAGCACGTTAATATTGTATTTTTTCACTTACTTTTGGCATTTCTTATTTTTTGTTTTTCTAATGTTATTGTACCACATGTATTATATTCTATTGTTTGTCGTCTTGCAGATATATTTTTTTCTTATAGAATGAACTAAAAAAACTGTGAAATGCTATTGTAAACAATGAAACGATTTTTCTTTTTCTCATTTCGATTCTACTTTGTTAAAAAAGAATGCTGATATTTTTTTGAAGTTTCTTAATAATGATCTCGTATGATAGATCTTGAAAGTCCTCCGGATCTTCACTCTTGAATTACTTTAAAAGCTTATTGAATTCATACGTAAGTTGTGTTTTATGAGATCCAGCAAAATCTGCTGAGCTTATACATTTACCCCAGCGACACCAGCATGATTATAAAATCACCCCATATGAGGTGAATATATGCGACATTTTAGGAAATCGTTTTTGGAGCTGCTTTTGCGAGCTTTCAAAAAAAAGTTTGATTTTGACGTATAGAGTTAAGATTAGTTTAGAGTGATAGAGAAGAGTTTGAGCTATCGATTGATGAAAAGAAACACACACAAATGAAGCATCAATCTCTCAAAAATTGTGTTATACAGAACACATAAAATAGCAGGAATTATACATTTATCCCAGCGATACCAGCATGAGTATGCATACACCCTAATGGAGGCGAATGTAAACATGAAAAATGGTGATCAAAGAATGTCCTGCAGATAGCTCTACGTACAGGATTTTCAGTTGACTTTTGCACCTATGGATAGAGTGTCATTTTAGTCAAGTGTCTTGTGACCAAAACGTTTTTTTTTAATGAAAACTAAAAAACGTTATCGCAATTATTCTAAGACACACCATTTTCCATTTTACACTTACTCCCACTTATTCTATTAACAATTCAACCGTAATGTTATCCACTCAACATCTCAAGAGCAGGTGTCTCCACCTGAGTAAACAATTTTCGAGCCGAAACCATATACATTCTATATGTATCTTAATTATTTTTGAATATCATGGAAACAATTCAAACTTGGAATGTCTCTCGTTGGTGATGTTTGCGTGCTTACTTCATACTTGATATAATTGCATGAAATGTTAAGTAAGAGCAGAAAAGCTGATTTTGTGTTGCATTTTAACTAGAATATTGACACAGGAACTAGCCTTAATGAGCATAGAGAATTGTGAAAGCTTCAGATCTTTGCTTGTTTACATCTACAACTACGAATACTCAATGAACTTCGTGTATGTAAACGATATAAAAGAAGGTTTTATCACAGTTGTGTTGACGGATGTGAACAATCAAAACGAATGAAATCTTTCTTTTCCCGAGGTTGCCAGACAAAATCAGATAATATGTTTCTTAAGGTTTATTATGGATTCTATTGTATTAATTGAAAAAATATAGTAAAAATGTAGTATTCCTGTAGAAGTGAGTCTCTTCTGTTTTTCATTTCGGTCGAAAACGATAAAAAGAATTTACAACTCTTATGTTTCCTACACGCTTTTGTCCTTGCCGTACATTCAAATATGTACGTCCAGATACTCTTTTAATAATGTGGAAATAAAAGAAGCAAGATAGAATTTATCATGTACACCAAGACGAGTAATGCTTCGGGGTTCTCCAGCAGACGCAATTAATCGAAATATCGCAACGGATAAATAAAGAGTTAGGTACGCCAACAACATGTTTTCTTTCAATGCTTGGATAATTAAATTTCATGCTTCAAGTGTAACAGATGTACGTGATGGATCCGAACGCATACGATGTAGGACATTTAGGCTAACTGATTTAGTCATTCACAGACAACAATGTTAGCACTACAGTAGGAGTTTATCTGAAATTTAGCTATACTCTAGATTTTCTCCGGAAATTATCTTATATTTTCCTATTAATTGATCCCATAGAAATCATAGATCTGATTATATGGTCGTAGAAGCTTGCAGCCTGATCCATGGGTGCCTCAAGATATTACTGTGTAATATCAATTAAGGCGGGACTGAATTACTTTTTTCGGGAGGAATACGTTTATATTATACTTTATTGGGTCAGACCAAATCGACTGAGAATGCAAAAGCTACGAGTTTTATATAAGTGTAATATACAACAAGAGAGCATCTGCGTACGGGTTGTAATGACAATATCAATAAGAAATGAACGGTTGAATAGCACTGAGAAAATAAAGAAAGTGCATACGTATTCAATTCTTGCGTGTTGATGTGCGTGCATAGGAAGTGCATGACTTATTTCATATTTATGTCAGTCAAACAACCTTGTCTTGCTTTTCTTCTCTTCGATCAAAATAACATCGAATAGACGTAAGAGTTGTTCGACTATGACAGTAAAATTGAATTAAACTTCATTCAATTATATTTGGTCAAGATAGACCGAATGATCTAAAACTTAGATATTAAATTTTTATGTTTTATTGAAACAAAAATAAACTATTTGACAAACAGAAAGCTTGAACAATACAAATCAAACACTCTTTGCTTTTCTATTGAAATTAATTTTATACAGTTACAAAACGTGATGTTTGCATTTGTCGTTGATATTTTCCTTAGCGTGATAAATATTTTACAAGTTCTTGACGAAATTTCATTCCACAAAATGAATAAAGAAAAAAATTAATCGAATATGATAAATATGATATATGCTGACTTATAATAACAATAGTGTAAAGTATATGAAAAAAATTTACATTTATAACTGATTTGTTTTCTTCAACACGCATGGCCATTCTTAAAATTAAAGCTGGATTTTCAACTAGTATTGATGCAGTATCATTAGAAGCATTCAGTTGACGTAGATAATTTTCAACGGTACTATTAAACAATTGAGATTTCCGTAATGTATAAATTTTTAATGTAATTGTACATATATGTGAAGGGGCGTTAAGTAATAAAAAACAAGTGGAGACTAAAATAAGCATACGCGTAACACGATGTGATTGAGCATGAGAACGTGTTGTAGAACGTATTGAAGGAGTATGACGTGGTGCATAGGCGACATTTAGGCGATGATCTTTTATTTCTTCATTAGTTGAAAATCGATATTTTGTATTCTAAATAATAAAGACAATATAGAATAGATTTTTCTCTAAAGTTGACATAATCGTACTGCTATTGCTTTTCTATGAACAGACTTCTTGAATCAAGTATCCGTAATTAATATAAATCAGAATTAGTATTTATTGAAACTGAAGATATACATAACAAATTTATTCAACATATCAAGTTCTCGTTGTCATTTATGATTAGATGTTCTTGGTGTAACGATTTGGTTAATGTCAACGAATTCATAAGGGTTCACCGTAGATTCAAACTTGACGCGTTATTTTCAGGTCACTAGTGTGCATTTTGATCTCAAGACCTAACCTTACTGACATTTATTCAGAGTGGATATGTTTGCGAACTTGTGATACAACTTAAAATTCTGATCAATTATGCTATATTTTTCAAATTTTTATTGTAATAAATTCGATCAGAATAATCTATGCGTTACTGTAGCAGAAAAACTAGGTTAAGTTTAATGTTGAAAAACAAATACAATAACTCCGAAATTCACCACTTTCGTTTTGCTATGTATGAAACTATGTTGGTTCTATTATTGTAAATAATATATATGTTTTTCTTTTTATTTAGAAATAATATCAACGACAGATTTTCTTTTATGATGCAAACCATCTTTTTTTCTAATCACAATCGGATGAGTTCAGTTATATTCTATTAGAACTGTCAATACTAATCCAACAACAATATCAGAAAGAACATCATGAAATTATGCACTTTCATTTATATCGGAATAGTTTATCTGATTTTGTAGATTTTATATTTTCTTCAAAGGATAATTTTGTTTCTGCTGAGTAAACCTATTTGAAATTTTTGTTTTTGAAAATGAGAATAAACTGCAAATCTTATATTTTCATTAAGAATATGGTTTTCAAATTTTTTTTCTTCAACGCAATAGAACGTATAGCGATGCATAAATCCGTTATTGGAGTTAAAAACGAAGTGCCACAACCTATAATCCTATCTGACTGCTATAATGGATAAGGACGAATGTTTTTGTCATGTACTTTTAGAGAATAAATCTAATCTTGCTTGTAATAACTAGACTACTGAGATAATAGAAATATTATGTTTTTTATGCTTCTAATACTTTCATAATTGGTGCTGTTGTTGTATCAGATAATTTTGATTGAGAAGCTGAATCATACGAAGCAGTACTTTTTCTTCTTGTATCTAATGCTAGGAAATCTCTTCTTGATCGTTTTGAAAATGATATTTGTGGATTATCTCGGCAAGCTTTTCTTAACTGAAATATAATTAATAAATTGAGCACAGCAATGACAGTAAACGGTATGACAAATGATGATAATGCATCAGATAAAAACCAATCTAAATATAATTCTTCTTGACAATGTTCATAAAGATTCATCTTAGTAAGCGCTAAACAATAAGATATGCCGAACAGAATAAATAATATTACGATCAGATAATGTAAAAAATGATTTTTTCTTTCAATAAATGCACTTAAAGGAAATCTAACAGCAATAAAACGTTGAACTGTAAAATGAACCGTAAAACAAGGCGATAATAATTCAGCAAGATGAGAAAGAAATGATAATAAACGACAAAATGTGTCTGAATTCAGTTCCATTAAATCGCTTAGACATCGTGATACAAGTGCTAAATTAAATAGAAGATCAGTTATTGCTAAAATACAAAAAGAAATAAAGATAGATATAAATATAAATATATATATTTGTTTTCTGTCTATATTATTATTTACCCAGTGCAATTAAGGTACAATTGTTAAAATTTTTCGTCAGAGAACGTTTCGATAACATAAATATTGTTATAACATTGCCAGCAATACCAACTAATGAAACAATAATAATATACGGTATCGATATTTGCATGAGAACATTTTGAATATAGTTCATGGTGCTAATAGATCCTATAGTAGTGTTGTTCATAATTTTTTGTGTTTTCTACTTTGAAACGACAGATATCTTAAGCATTTAATCTAAATATAGATATACAATTAGATAAATGCTTAACATGATCGAAGTGAAGAAGTTAATTTACTAGAAGAAAAACGCTCGAAAAGAAATCTTATATCCATACTAGTACTACGTTTGGAAGGAGATCAGCAGGAATAGTGTTTGCAGTTTTTCCTCCTTCGTAAATATTCAAATTATAAATACTTTGCGTGTTTTCTTGTGATTTTTTTCTGCTACTTTATTAAAACAAGTACGATGCATATCATATAATAACGTAGTTTATCTGAAAACAAAAGTCATAATACTTATTTCAATAAACTTGACCTCATAAAAAAAAAACTCGATTTAAATAAAAACAACTAACAAAAGCAGCATTTCATAGTCATAATCAATATATTTTGATGAAGAAAAAAAAAGAATGCATATAGAATAAGAAGTACTTGACATATTACAATATTTCCTAGATCTCACTTTTTTCTTTTCTCATTGTCGTGCTCAACAAAGTGAACATAATAAGACAAGACAAGAACAGAAACACTTGCAGAATGAGAGAAACACGAATGTACTTTTTTTACTCACGCTTCTTACTTCATGTAAATGGTGTGCGAAGAGATTATTTAATTAAACCAAGAAAATGATTTCTCACGTGTTTAAAGTTATGCATCGAGTTGTCTATTTCATTCTAATAATTATATTAATATAGTTAGATATTGAAAGACGATGCATAGGTCGCCGAGGCGGTTGACATTAGTTTTAGTTCTTTTTTCTTTTATCGAGAAATGATGAAATTTTTTCGAAGAATTTTAAAATAGAAACTTTCCTAGTTAGAAAAATTTCCTCATTTAAAAAATTAGGGTAACACGCATGAAACATATACTAGTAAAATTAATAATATACAGTGAAAAACGTGCAAACTTTAAGGTTAAAAATTTCGTCAATGAACATGATTATCTAATTTCTTGACGTTTTGGCCATTATCCAATCCATGTTCTAACATGTTTCTTACATAGTATCTAGAAAGAAAAGAATGTCCTTATATCTAAAACCGAGGAGTAAAGAATGCGTTTATTAAAATAAAAAATCCAGAGAACATAAATTATCTGGGTATGTGTGTTAAAAAATAATATTTGCTTTGACAAAAGAAAAAGGCTCTTATAATTCTTCAGTTGAACACAGTGCTTGTTCATGAATGACTTTCTCCCCTGGATCGTAAATAGGAAAAAATAAATAAGGCATTTCCACCCACTATCTAACTGAGCGTGATATCTACGAACGTGCACGAGTATGCATCATATATTCTTTGTTCTTTTTTTTCTTTTGCCCATAAATTATATAAATTGTTAAACCAATAAAATCTTCCAGATTTACTCTGAAATATAGACGTATATCAGCATAAGATTAGCATATGCATCCAGAAATATGACGGAAAAATAAATAAAGAAGCACCTGTCATAAGATTTTTTTCTCTTGTTTATGGTAAGATGGGTTTTAATTTTATTAAAACGCTGTGTTAAAAACAGAATATAAAAATGTTTCACATTTGTTCACTTGTATCCATTCAAAAATAAAACACAAATTTATGAATGTATTTCTATAACTAATTCATTGGCCACTTCGAATATCATAGATTTACAAAATCCGGTAACGATAGTTTTTAATGCAAGAAAACAAAATCTATTTTATCATCATCAATTTAATATCAGATTTCTTGTTTCTTAATAATTATCATACTTTCTTATATTTAAAATTAAATTAAAGCATATTAGTGAGGTTTTAGGCAATCTTATTAATAAATAATGAAGAAACATCGTAGATGAATACCATAGGAGGCATTTCACGTAAGACACGGCCAACCTTGCTCAATCGATCTCACCGATTTGGCTCATATTTTTATAGTAGGTAGCCCTAACAAAGTTAAGAAGAAGCGGAAAGTTTAATCTCGAACGGATGATCTATTCTGGAGATATATGCACTCGAAGTAAGACGGGGTCGGATTCTCTGTACTTCGACAATTTTCAGTAAATTTTCATTTTCTCAAGAACGATAAGAGCTGCAACGAAACGCTTTTCACCATTAATAGTATAGTCAATGGGCTATGGTTTGATGCTATTGAAAGTATCTTATGTTGGGAAAAAATTTCTCGATACGATCGATCTGTCTCAGAAAACAGGGTCCCAGCGTGTAGGGTCAATTGGTCAAGTCAGTGAGACGGATGAAGTCAAATATAGTCTAATACGAAAGAGCACATCGAATTGCATCGAATGGTGTGTTCAAATCTTTGTTATTTTGATTTTCAGGAGCGAAATCGTTTCTACCAAGATTATGATATTTTCGAGAAAAATTCACTTGAAAGAAACACTTGTGCTGCTTTTTTTTCATATATTATTTTAATATATTCAAATATTCGGAGAAATTCTGATAGCGCATGAAATTCTCTACTATTCGATTCAAAAACACTTGAATAACACGTGTTGAGTGAGAAAAAAAAGAAAGCACAATAGCGTCACCATAGTCCTCACATTTCTCTAAAATCAACTTTTGTTCTCTTTTTTTTTTTACTTTCTAGTTAGGTAAATACAAAAGCAGCTATGCATTCTGGTAGCGCTTGAAATTTTGCATCTTTTGATGCGGCACTAAAAAGTCACCAAGATGCAAACGAGTGCTTAGTACAGAGCATAATAGTCGCCCTCAGTGAAAATCATCCAAGTAAAACTCGGTATTCAGGCGATTACATTATTATAGCTTACTTTGATAGAAAAAAGCAAATAGCACATTTAGAATCATTATGAAAAACTGCATCTAATTTTGATACTTTTTGGAGAACAATATTTTTCATCAAAATTCCAGCCTACTCCCCCTTAGCCATTTTTTTCTGGATTTTGTCCTGTGG